AGAGCAAATACTTTTAATTTCAGTCAAAACAATCTGAAATCATCCCCAAACCGACAGCAGTCATCCTCTGTGGTTGATACAAACCAAGGCAAATGCAAAAGTTTTGCAAATTAAAAAATTGAAGGCTGCCCTCTAGCAGACCCAAAGTGTATTGCGTTTCTGCACTGTCTAAACCCTACACTGACTTCCTAACATGACCCAACTGAAAGGTCAAACCACCCACACACTAAAAATAGGAACTTGAGTATTTTATGTCATCTGGGGTTGATAGAAACCAAAGCAAATGCAAATATTCTGAAAATTAAGATTGCCCTCTAGCAGAACCAAAGTGTATTGCATTGTTGCGCTGTCTAAATCCCATGTTAGTGTTCCTTCCAAAAGTAAGTCATGTTTTCGAATGCAAATACTTCTAATTTCAGTCAAAACAATCTAAATCATCCACAAACTGATACAATTCAAGGCAAATGCAAATAAATAAAATACATTTTATTGACAAAAAATTGAGTGTGCCCTCTAGCAGACCCAAGGTGTGTTGCATTTGTGAACTGTCTAAACCTTACATTAGACTTCCTCACCAAAAGTATGATCCAACCGAAAGGTCAAACAATCCATACACTAAAAATAGGAACTTGAGTATCATTATCTTGTTTAGGGTTGATACAAACCAAGACAAATGCAAATGTTTTGAAAATTAAAAGATTAAGAGCGCCCTCTAGCAGAACCAAAGTGTATCGCATTGTTGTGCTGTATAAACCCCACGTTAGAGTTCCGACCAAAAATATGACCCAACTGAAAGGCCTAAGTCATGTTTTGGAGTGCAAATACTTTTCATTTCAGTCAAAACAACCTGAAATCATCCACAAAATGACAGCAGTCTACCTCTGTAGTTGATATAAACCAAGGCAAATGCAAATATTTAGAAAATTAAAAGATTGAGTGCCCTCTAGCAGACCCGAAGTGTACCGAGTTTGTGCGCTATCTAATGATCTATGTTAGACTTCGTACCAAATAAAGCATGAAAAGCTATAAGTCATGCTTACTTCTGTTCAAGCCCATTTAAAATGAGTCAGCAGAAAATCAGCCACACATTTTGACAAGACAGCAACCCGAATGTCACCTGGGGTTGATGCAAACCAAGGCAAACGCAAAGGTCTGGAGAAAAAGCCAAGTGCTACGAATTCCAAATGTAGCAGAGTGGATCCGAATACCACAGTCACGGGTCACGGACAAAGTCAGAAAACGTGAAAGAGAGAGGAGGGTTCTTTGTGTGGGAGCACAGACAGATTGACAGCGGAGAAAGAAAAAAACAGGGGACCTTCTTATGGAGCGGCACGTCCAGGGCAGCGAGAGGGGCTGCAGAAGGTCTGGATTAATGAGACCCATAGGGAAGGACGTGGAGGATTAGAGCTGATCTCAGCCAAATCTGTTGAGGCATAGAAAATACATCCTTATATGCTTACAGAACAAACAGTAATCCTTTCCTTTCTGCCGTTCTCTATGTTGCCACAGTGGACAGTATAAAAGCACGATTTGGCCACTTCAACAGCGCTGAGGTTTTCTTTAATCTGCGTGCTAGCACATAATGGTGTTTCTCCATTGATCGTGATTTCCATCAGACATCCATCCACCATTGTCAGCTTCCAAACACGGTAAACACCGGCCGCTCTCTCGACATGTTCGCCATCCGAACATGGTGCTTTTTTTCCCCGCATACCTGCTCCGTCTCTTTGAACAGAGATAAATAGCTGGATTACTTGTCCCTTTTCAAGCTCCCCAAGTTTGCAAAGGAGTTCGGCGAAGGCTTCCTATTCAAAACATTACGCCAACAGGACCTTCTTCCCCCCTTTTCTCCTCTGTTTCTTAACTCATGAGCTCTTTGCACGACAAGGTGAGTTCCCTCTTTTCAAAATACCACGGGAACAGGTAAAGAGAGGCTCAAGGAGGGGGAAGAAAGCCAAACAGAAAAGCTCTTTAAAACGGTATTTATAGAGAGAGCGAAGACAAACAGTGTCCCTGTTGAAAATGAGAGAATCCATTTCGATGACAGTTGGAAGAAAGCAACCTTTATGCTGCGGATTGAGGCCCAGGTCTCTGCCTATGCCCTCCTTTTAGAAAAGTGATTAGTTACTTAAAAAACACAAACGAGAGGCTCAGAGCGAGAAAGCCGGGAGAAGACAGGCCTTTGATTGCCATTCGAATTCCTCGCTAATAAATTGTTCTGCACCTTTGTCTGGGCCGCCGAGGACCGCGGCCTACGTTTTCCCAAGAATGCCCAAGGATCCTGAACACACACAAAAAAACCCACAAGGATGTCCCGGTCCTTTCAGAGAGAGGCAGGCTGATTGTCAGCGCCTAGCATGAGTGTCATCTGATCTCAACGCAACATCAAAGTCCACTGGAGGCGTAGAAAGCATTTTTCTTTCCCCCAGAAATGAACCCAGACCGCAGCGTGACTGGGAAATGAAACTGCTGCTTTCATCGTCTCGTTCCCTAAATGGGTAGGATTTTCCTCATGTTTGTGTTTTGCATTTTTATAATCATTATTATTATTAGTCAGCTGAGGATGCCTGGTCAGCGGCTGAGCTCACGGCGCAGGTATGTGCAGATTAGCGCCGTGTGGCTCAGCGTTTGATGACAGCTTGATGAGATCTTCCACCTTCATAGGCACATGGTATAACCACCAATTAACCCCATTCACACACAGACTGTAGTCCATCTGTTTCTCTGCATACTCTCTGTCTCCCTGTTCTTCAGTGGTCAGACCAGGCACTATTTGGGTGGTGGGTCATTCTCAGCCAGTAACACTGACGTGGTGGTGGTGTGTTAGTGTGTGTTGCGCTGGTGCGAGTGGATCAGACACAGCAGTGCTGCGGGAGTTTTTAAACACTGTGTCCACTCACTGTCCACTCTATTAGACACTCCTACCTTGTCGGTCCACCTTGTAGATGTAAAGTCAGAGACGATAGCTCATCTGCTGCTGCACAGTTTGTGTTGGTCATCCTCTAGTCCTTCATCAGTGGTCACAGGACGCTGCCCGCAGGACGCTGTTGGCTGGATATTTTTGGTTGGTGGACTATTCTCAGTCCAGCAGCGACACTGAGGTGTTTAAAAACTCCAGCAGCACTGCTGTGTCTGATCCACTCGCACCAGCGCAACACACACTAACACACCACCACCACGTCAGTGTTACTGCAGTGCTGAGAATGATCCACCACCCAAATAGTACCTGCTCTGTGGGGGTCCATGGGGGTCTTGACCACTGAAGAACAGGGTAAAAGGGGGCTAACAAAGTATCAGAGAAACAGATGGACTACAGTCTGTAACTGTAGAACTACAAAGTGCACCTATATAGTAAGTGGAGCTGATAAAATGGACAATGAGCGCAGAAACAAGGAGGTGGTCATAATGTTATAACTGATCGGTGGACATATATATATATATATATATATATATATATATATAAACAAGGCCTTGGTTTGAGGAACACGGTAGGTTCACTAGATAGGGCTTAGGGAGCAAGTGAGCGAGTGAATGAAGCGCATTAAGCGTCGCCTGGAAAGACGCGCTGTTGCTAAGCAACCGTGTAAACAGAGCGTCTGCGCCGCTATGCTGAAGGTAGAGGCTGTTTGTTTACAGCGTTATTAACACACACATATAGTATTTATAAACAGATTCCTGTTGATTTGTCTACGAGGCTTCTACTCGTTTACTGAAGAGTATCGGCTCATTTAGTTTATTATGAGCTGCTGCTAGTTAAGCCATTACAGCTTTCGGTTCATTTAGAGTGAGTTGTTTATACTGAGAGTCAATAGCTGTGGTCACTCTTATAAACGATGGTTCTTCAAGGGTTCTCTAGTAAAGGCAATGGCTCTATATAGAACCATGGGCCCTTAAAGAGCCATTTCATGCTTACATGGTTCTCTGCATGGTCAAGTGGTTCTTCAGACTGATAGAGAATGTGTTGTAGATGGTTCTATCTAGAACCTTTTTGAAAATGGTTCTTTATAGCACCAAAAAGGGTTGTTATGATGTCAAGCTTGTAAGCTATAACGTTATAGCTAGAACCATTTTCTTTCAAAATAGGGTCTAAATACAGCACATCTCCATCAATCTGAATAACCATTTCACCATGCAGAGAACCATTTAAGCATAAAATGGCTCTTAAAGTGCTGCTGGTTCTGTATAGAACTATTGCCTTTACTAAAGAACCTTTGAAGAACCATTTTTTAAGTGTACAGAACAATTTCATGCTTAAATGGTTCTCTGCATGGTGAAATGGTTCTTAATTTACAATCAACAATGGATAGTAGATACTGAATCATTCATGGTAAGTACTGAATTATTCATAGTAGATACTGATTAATTTATAGGAGATACTGAATAATTCATTGTACATAATGAATCATTCACAAAAGATACTAATTCATTCATAGTAAATAATGAATCATTCATAATAGATACTGAATAATTCATAGTTAATACAGAATAATTTATAATACATACTGAATCATTACAATCAACAATGGATAGTAGATACTGAATCATTCATGGTAAGTACTGAATTATTCATTGTAGTTACTGAATAATTCATAGCAGATATTGAATCATTCATAGTAAATACTGAATCAATCATAGTAGTTACTGAATCATTCATAGTAGATATTGAATAATTCATAGTAGATGCTGAATCATTCATAGCAGTTGCTGAATCATTCATAGTAGTTACTGAATCATTCACAGTAGATACTGAATCATTCATAGTAGTTGCTGAATCATTCATAGTAGTTACTGAATCATTCACAGTAGATGCTGAATAATTCATAGTAGTTACTGAATAATTCATAGTAGATACTGAATCATTCATAGTAGATGCTGAATCATTCATAGTAGATACTGAATAATTCATAGTAAATACAGAATAATTTATAGTAGATACAGAATAATGTGGATGAGTTTTGAGATCAGACACGTATACGCTGACTGACCCCTCTGTGTGACAGACTCAGGGTCGCAGCTCTTCCAGAGCGGATGGAGGAAAGTTGGCCGTGGCGGCCGTAGCTCTGCAGGACCACATCACCCGCAGCGTCCCACATCTTCACAACCTCACTGTCTCAGGTTCTGTTGGCCGAGCCGTATGTCCAGCAGCGTCCACTAGACCCCTCAGAGCCCAGCAGCACAGAGAGGCTGGACATACGCTGGGGGAAGAGAGGGAGTACATGCTGGACCCGGATCCCCCACCACTCACACTTGGTATGATGGAGTCTGCAGTGGTTTGCTAGGCCAGGCAGGCCATAGACCTCTTAAAGACCGAGGACTGTCCACAACTGACCCCTTTACTGACGCATTAACGGCTTTATCTGACATTTTAGATTTCCTTCAGCCTGTCTGTCCTCTGAGCCCAGGCTGAGCACAAACCGGAAGGTTTTTCAAATATTTTGGTCACATTTGGTTTTAGAAACTAAACTACAGAAAATCTACATTTGATTATGAACAAAAGTATGAAAATGTAAAAAAAAGTACGGCTGAAAAATTCGTTTTATCTTGAAATTGCAATTTGGTTCAAATCACTTAGATCATACTTAGAAAAGTGCATTTCCTGAACACAGTGCAGACTGTGCAGCTTATGGTTTCCAGATGGTTGCTAGAGTGTTGCTAGGTGGTTGATATGGTATCCCAGGTGGGCGTTAGGGTGTTGCCAGAAAGTTGCTATGGTATCTCTTGTGGTTGCTGTGGTGTTGATAGATGTTTGCTACGACACCCAAGGTGGTTGCTGTGGTATTACAGCTGGTTGCAAGGAAGTTGCTAGGTTGCTGTTATGGTATTGCTAGGTGGTTACTATGGTATCCCAGGTGATTGTCAGGATGTTGCCAGATAGTTGCTATGGTATCACATGTGGTTGCTGTGGTGTTGCTAGATATTTGCTACGACACCCAAATTGGTTGCTATGGTATTCCAGCTGGTGACTGTTATGGTATTGCTAGGTGGTTGATATGGTTATCCCGGGTGGTTGTTAGGGTGTTGCCAGATTGTTGCTATAGAATCACTTGTGATTGCTGTAGCATTGCTAGATGTTTGCTATGACACCCAATGTGGTTGCTATGGCATTCCAGCTGGTTGCAAGGAAGTTGCTAGGTGGCTGTCATGGTATTGCTAAGTGGCTGCTATGGTATTCTAGGTGGTTGCTAGGTGCTTTGCAATACACAATCACTAATTATATTTCCAAAAATAGGAATTTTAACCTAATACTATGGAGCTTGTGAACTGCCTGGAGAGGCAACCACAACTGGCAGTCTGGCGCACTATGACCAGCGCTAAGCCTATGGCCAGAAAAAGTGGCTAATCTTCATGGCCAGAATAACAGGCCTGGAGCTTAATGTATAGAAAATAAGCACAATTTAAATCACAGTCGCAATATTAGTCAAGTTCTTCCCAAATCATTCAGCCTTAAGTATAAAGCAAGTATTTAACTATTTAAATTTAATCACTTCAGACCAATCAGGACATATTAGCCCACCTTGTTTTGCAGTGGAAGCACAAAGCTAATGTAGCTAACAAGTAATGGGAGCTCATATCCCACCAGTTAGCACTGTACAGTCAGCATGACTTAATCATCTCACACCCACCTCAAACCGTGTCAGTCTTGCTGACGTGGTTTCTGATACTGTGTCACACTGCTAGCTATAAAAATCCACACCTTCATGTAGATAAACGTTTGTTATAACATATTGATTTAATGCTGCGTCGTCTCTTGTTTGTAGCCCAGCGGCTTGGTTTGGTGGCAGCTCCTGCAAGAAGACTGACCGCAGAGGAGTGGACAGAGGTGAAGTCAAGGTCTCTACAGGAAGGAGACTCTACCCAGCCCTGCGTCATCTGCACAGAGGAGTTTCGCCTTCTGCCACAAGTACAGTTTACCCATAATCCACCACAGCTACAAGTAGCGCTTACCCATAATCCACCACAGCTACAAGTACCGCTTACCCCTAATTCACCACAGCTACAAGTACTGCTTACCCATAATCCACCACAGCTACAAGTACTGCTTACCCATAATTCACCACAGCTACAAGTACTGCTTACCCATAATACACCACAGCTACAAGTAGCGCTTACCCATAATACACCACAGCTACAAGTAGCGCTTACCCATAATTCTCCACAGCTACAAGTAGCGCTTACCCATAATTCTCCACAGCTACAAGTAGCGCTTACCCATAATCCACCACAGCTACAAGTACTACTTACCCATAATCCACCACAGCTACAAGTACTGCTTACCCATAATTCACCACAGCTACAAGTACCGCTTACCCATAATCCACCACAGCTACAAGTACTGCTTACCCATAATACACCACAGCTACAAGTTGCGCTTACGCATAATCCTCCACAGCTACAAGTACCGCTTACCCCTAATCCACCACAGCTACAAGTACCGCTTACTGTACTATATGGTTCCATGTAGGTTCTATGTGTTGTTTTTAGTTTCTGTCATAATCTGAAAAGGCCTGTTGCTCTTTACTTCGTATGTAAAAAAGTCTGGTTCCATTGACTTCCATGTTTTTTCCTTCTCCTGTAAAGGTCCTTCTTAGGGTATCTGAGGTATTTCATCCCCACAGTGGTGACTTGTATCTGATCCTAAGAGTGAAGGAGGTTCAAACTCAGTCATAACTACCACTGCTTAATTTCTCATTTCACGTCCGCTCCTGTCTGTTCAGGTAAAGCCACCTGTACCAATGTACAGATTTACCCATACTGCCCCACAGCTGAACTGTGACGGCACCGACGTGGTGTGAAGGGTCAGCTGCCGTCCGCACCTCCCTGATCCGCTTTTAACAGCCCAATCTGCCCAAGAATGCCGGGAAAAGAAAGGACCAGCTGTACCGAGACAAAAAGCCCTGTTGCCATAGACGCGTATGTAAATATTAGCTCCACTGTGTGGAGGCAGCCCTGAGGCTCGGAGAGGCAGAGCTGCGGTGATTTCTGATCAATCAAAGAACTGTAACTCGACGGAAAACAATCACATCGATCCAAACGGAACCGTTTAATCAAGTTAATCAGCAGTTATCATTATCAAAGCGTCACCTGGATGCACCCCCCTACGTCACTGCCAGTCACTCTGATTAACATGAGTAATTAACATGCGCATAAATCAGCAGGGATACTGATACAGTGGTGAAATGGGTCTTCAGATTAATGGAGAATGTGTTGTATATGGTTCTATATAGAACCTTTTTGAAAAGGGTTCTTCTGTTGTTACAGGCTTGCCATCACAATAGCAGAACCCTTTTGGGTGCTATATAGAACCCTTTTAAAAAGGTTCTATATAGAACCATCTACAGCACTGTGTGATCTGTACTCTGAAGAACGCTTTCATGATGCCAAGAACCTTTTAATCATGCAATAGGTTCTTTGAGTGTTTATGGGTCCATATTAGAACCATTTTCTTTTAAAAAAGGGCCCTTTATAGCACCAAAAAGGGGTTCTGCTGTCATTATGATATGAGCCTGCAACAATATAATAACCATTTTTGGTACTATATAGAACCATTTTCTTTCTTCAAAAAATGTTCTATATAGAACCATATACAGCACATTCTCCATCAGTCTGAAGAGCTATTTCACCATGCAAAGAACAATGAAATCAAGCAAAGGGTTCTTTGAGTGTATATAGTGCTATAGAGAACCATTTTCTTTGCTAAAGAACCCTTGAAGAACCATCATTTTTACGTGTGCATATAAATGGCTCTATATAGAACCATTTTCACCATTAACGGTTACAACCATTCAAGTATGAAATAGTTCTATATACAACTCATGGTTCTAAACAGAACAGTTCCCTTTACTAAAGAACCCTTGAAGAACCATGTTTTTTAATTGAGCATGGAAATATTTTCCACGTTTTCTATCAATTATTGTTTATGTCTATTTTCAAAATGTTTATCGCTGGTCTCTGTTTACCTACACTCTTAAAAAAGATGGTTCTTCAAGGGTTCTTTGGTAAAAAAAATGGTTCTGTATAGATCCATGAGCACTCAAAGAACTCTTTACATTATTAAATGGTTCTTTGCATGGTGAAAGCGTTCTTCAGATTGATGTAGAATGTGTTGTACGTGGTTCTATACAGAACCCTTTTGAAAAGAATCCTACACAGCACCAAAAAGGGTTCTGCTGTTGTTACGATACGAGCTTGCAACAATAGAAAAAACAGTTTTGGTGCTATTTAGAAACATTTTCCTTTCTTCAAAAAAGGTTCTATATAGAACCACATATAACACATTCTCCATCAATCTGAACCCTTTCACCATGCAAAGAACCATTTAATAAAGTAAAGTGTTCTTTACTAAAGAACCCTTGTCAGTCAAATGTGTTAACCCACCTCATAAGCAGAGCGTTCTGCTTCTTTTTAGATATGAGAATTTAACAAAAAAGTTCTATTCTGTTAGAAATAAAGGTTCTGTTCAGGTATGTTTTCGTTCATCAAGGTACAAACAGTGTAAATGTTCCCTCAAAGCTCCAACAGTGGTTTTAAGGTCTGATTGTGAACCTTAAATAAGTTTTTCCAGGTGAAAAGTTCGTATTTGTACCTTTTCATAACCGAATGTTTTAAAACAGAACAGTAAAATAAAAGCCTGGAGTCGAGACGGGGTGTGTGGAGTCAGTACAGCTTAGAACATATCATTTCAGTGGATTATGGTTCAGTTATGTTCCCTGACTAAAGGTACTGAGATGGACCCTTGAGGGGTCCTGCCCCAGTGACGGTTTAGTACCTTTATTTCTGAGAGTGAGAGACCAAACCATTTATTCAATCCTGGATAAAATAAATCACCAAATCTAAATTTTGGATTTTGATGCGTCTCCGAATGCTGGGAGTTGCAGCTCAAGCTCTGATTGTGTGCTGACGTTTTGTTGAGTGTTGAGTTCGGTGGTGTGACGGTGTGACGGTGGTTGTGTTATAAACACACACAGACACTCAGAGGCTGCAGGCGGCTGAGTATCTCTGCTCCCTGAGCGCTGTTAGGTGTTTGAATGCAGTCAGAAAACAATGAGAAATCAGCCTGCGTCCTGCCCTTTCAGCACTCTCTCAGCAGGGGTCTGCAGCGGCCTGCATCTCCACTCTTAGCCCCCCACATTACACACACACATACAGTGAGGGGAAACAAAGGGGGAAACAATAACAACTGTTATTTTTGTTATTCAATATACATTTACTGCATATATCCACTTCATATTTAATGTAGTTGTGTTATAACTGAAGTTTGGGGGGAGGAGCATGGCTGAAACCCCTCCTTCTTCCAGTCTAATGCCCTATAAATTAACATCCTCACCTTCCGTTCCCGTGACGAAGTGTTCAATCCCCACCACCACCCCATCTCATCCCTGTTCCTCAGTCCTACATCAGTCCTGCTACAGCTATGAGGGGGTCCGGCCTTCTAGCTATAGGCAGAAGAACCCAGAACTCCAGCCCACGTTCTCAGAGTTCTCCCCCTCCGTCAATCAGTCTTCCCTCATACTACCACCACCATGTTGAAGGCATGGTCTGAACTCACTAACACAAATGGCCTTTATTAAGTTGCATACAGTCAAATCATAAAAGGAGCGCAGGTAGGAGTGCCTATAAATTTGAGCGTAATAGTTTAACAACCTGAAAAATGCCTGATTTACAGTTTAATAATCAAAATTGTTGTTAATAACATGAATTCATCAATAATATTGATTATAATAATATAATAGCAGTAAAAAAAACAACAGTAATAATAATAATAAGCTCCACACAGAGCAGTTCTTATGCAGTCCATTTCTTTATGTGCACGCTGATATAAACAATGCTTTTGCTTTAAACTATTTACTGATACAGTAAATAACTGCCTCGAATACAAAACACAGAACAGCGTACTGTAGAAGCTCATAGGCTACTCTTGTCAAATGTTGTCATTATAATAGTAACACTATTAAAAGCTATTTAATCACCTCCAGCTCAACTCCAAACTCTGTCTATGAGGGCAACCACTGCCTCATGAGCTGCTGAATGCTTTATCAGCATCTGCATGGATTAGGACAGGTTCATGTAAATGAATGTTCATGAATGTTTAAATGAGGGCTGATTGGGGAGTGCCCACTACAAATTAGGTATTAATGCTTAAGCGCTTGTTTTCACGCACTGAAGCTGATCCATCAGTTGCGTCAGACGCGGAGTAGCTCATACTGCACAAAATTTCCACACAATTTTGATAAATAAGGCCACAGTCTTTTGACTTGGTGCTTAGAAATATAAACAAAAAGTATGTATTCAACAACAAAATGTATAGAAATATAAATATATGTTTTTCATACCAACCGCCCACTTTATAAAAAACACCTCCTCGTATTTACACTCACTGTCCACTTTATCAGCTCCACTGACCGTATAGTTTCACTCTAGTTCTACAGTTACAGACTGTAGTCCATCTGTTTCTCTGCATACTTTGTTACTTGTTCTTTCTATGGTCAGGACCCCCACAGGAACCACACTCAAACTATCTATCTCTCTCTCTCACTATATATATATATATATATATATATATATATACATATATATCGCTGCTGTCAAAATGATAACTTTACTTTTAATGTAAGTCAATGGAACCAGACTTTTTTCTCAAATCAGTTTTGGTCGTTACATTTATCTTGAAATTCACACACAATGTAAAGGGCAACAGGCATTTTCAAATGATGGCAAAAGCTGAAAAATGACTATATATATATATATATATATATATATATATATATATATATATATACTTTTTTATTATGTGAAAAGAAAGTTCATGAAACCACAATTAATATATCCCTGGAAAAGAGACTGCAATCATCTCCATTCCTACTTCACACATGAAACATGAAACAACCAAAATCTGGACATTTCTGTCCCTGTACAGTACGACCTGAGTATCACTGTCCCTCAGAAGTTACGGTGCAGACTGTGTAAACAGTCATTACAGAAGCTGAACTCCTGTAAACCTGCTGTACTGCTTGTTCTGTATTCATGTGATTTTATGTCCTGACAGGTTTTGCTGTCCTGCTCACACGTATTTCACAAGGTAAGTTCCTTAAGCACTGCAGTGGATGGAGGGCTGTGTAGATGCTCACTAAGGCGTTCATCTGAAGATAATCTGAAGATGGCAACTGCAAATGTTAAAACCAGTTTTAATCAATAATAATAATATTCATTAAAGCAAAATAAAAAAAATCTGGCTATTTTTAATTAAAAATCACATTTGTTGATTTAATGCATGTTTTACGTTTGTAACTGGACCAGAACACTCTCAAAAGGATGGTTCTTCAAGGGTTGCTTAGTAAAGAAAATGGTTTTGTATAGAACCATGAACACTCAAAGAACCCTTTGCATGATTAAATGGTTCTCTGCATGGTGAAATGGTTCTTCAGATTGATGGAGAATTTGCTGCAAATGGTTCTGTACAAAAAAGGGTTCTTATATAATGACAAGCTTTACATCGTAACAATACAGAACCATCTACAGCACATTCTCCATCAATCTGAAGAACGCTTTCACCATGCAAAGAACCCTTTAAGAATGCAAAGGGTTCTCTGAGTGTTCATGGTTCTATATAGAACCATTTTCTTTACTGAAGAGCTCTAGAAGAACCACATTTTTGAGAGTAAATAATTGATATGAATTGTGGAGAAATTTGTGATTTTGTGATGCAGTAAATTGTCTCCTAAATAACAGTGGTCAGAAATGAGTGAGAAGCCAGAGCTTTACAGCCCGAGTGAAGATTCTGTATGATATTTAGTTGAGTTTGTTCTTTTGCTGCATTGATCTGGGATCTCTTGCTGGTCTGCAGGCCTGTCTGAAGTCCTTTGAGCGGTTCTCGGGCAGAAAGTGCTGTCCCATGTGTCGGAGGGAGCAGTACGAGACCAGAGTGATCCATGATGGAGCGAGACTTTACAGAGAGAAATGTGCCATCAGGTACAGCGCAGCGGCCATACATGCAGCTAAAGGAGCGATACGTAAGATGACACAACCTGTCGAACTCCACACAGACAGGGGGCAGCATATCACCAGAACTTTGTGGTGACCACCCCCTATTGTAAGAAACAAGGAGATGCCCAGTTTTAGAGAACTTGTAGAGAGGAGAATTCCCACTTTCCCACTCTGTTATGTCTTCCGGGTTTCTTAGACACTAGAGGGCGCTCCCGAGCGAGTCCAAAATGAATGGGTTTAATATGGAGCATGTGAGCAAAATCCTAGTCTATAAATGCTGAAACATCTTTAATGTAAAATAATTCATTCATTTCCTGAACACAGAGCAGCGTAAAACATTTTAACACTGCTGTTATATTTTTAAAAGCTTTTAAACTCGAGTTATAGGAGTTTAAAACGGCGTCTCATGTACGTTCATGATGTCAGTGAACGCGAACAGCCAATGAGCTGCTCTGCTCGCCAACCAATCAGTACTCAGTAGCAGTAATGCTAACCAATCAGCACTCAGTAGCAGTAATGCTAACCAATCAGCACTCAGTAGAAGTAATATTAACCAATCAGCACTCAGTAGCAGTAATGTGAACCAATCAGGACTCAGTAGCAGTAATGTTAGCGTTCTGCTGCCCAAAAATTTGCTGTAGAATAAGCAGGCACCCTCTGGAGTTTTGCAGTCCTGTTTTTGATATGATGAGGGAAATATCTCCTCCTCCCTCTTCACTCCTCCCCCTATTTACTTAGGAGATCTTATTCGCACCTGAAGACATTCAGCCTGTTTGTTTTGTGCTTCGTATCGTGTGAATCTGCATCTCTAAAATCAGCTCAAACTGAGTGACTGAAGCTCTCGCACAGTTTCAGCTCCTGCATGAGGCGGAAAACTCTCTGCTCTCATTCCGTGTTTCCAAAGTGGAAAACATCCTGCATGACATCACAGTTTGCCCAAGTAGCAAAAGACCCTCTCATAGATCTTCTGTCTGGTGTGTAACGGCCTTTCTGCTCTTCCTCTCCTCACCTCTGTCTCAGGATCCAGGCCCGCTGGCGTGGCTTCGCTGCCCGTAAGTGGTACAGAAACGTGAGGAAACTCGTGCCCCCCCACGACCCCCGCTTAAGACGGCAGTTCTTTGAGGCGAAGGTAAAGTAGCTCAACAGATTTAAGTGCTTTTTTGCTTTGATGAAAAAAAGATCTGTGTTCATTACCAACAGTGATAAACAGGGCTGTGGAAAGTGGGGGGACTGAGGGGGCTGCAGCACCCCCTGGTTACAGGACTGCAACCCGTAAAAATAATAACCATTATAAAACATTCAGGGGCCGGATTCGCAAAATTGTCTTAAGAAAGAAAATCATCTTAAATTTCTTAATTTCATTCATGAGAAAAAACATTATGAAAAATTGCTCTTTTTCAAATAACTTACCACTTGTTCATAGAATTATTCTTAAAAAAATACTTAAGAAAACGAGAATTTCTTGTTTTCTTAAGTATTTTTTAAGAACAATTCTATGAACAAGTGGTATTTTTGTAAATATTACATTCATACTTAAATGTTTTCTTAACCTTACAACAGACTCACTCGTCTAAATCATGTAAATTAGGTACAGATACTGCCTCTGCTGCTCCTCATCCTCATCTGTCACCCCACAGTTATCATATTTTCCAATAAGGATATTTTTCCTGCTGGCTAGTTTTTGTTTGCTATTTTTTAAACATTTGGTTTGATGAATTTCCTCCATTTTGCTCCTCTGAGTGGATTAAAATAACAGAATTAACAGTTAATACAAATTCAAAATGTATCTCGTGTCGTTTATGGCACAGGGTAAAATGCAACATAGCCTTCATAAGTAAATAATGAAGATTGTCTTAAGAAAATAATTTAAGATTATCTTATTAGAATTTTTTAAAACTACTCTTTTTTTTCAATAATTGCATTTAAGAACATTCCTATGCACTTCTTAGTGTTTGTCTATAGAAGCTTTTAAGAAAGCTTTCGTTTGAGCGTAGTGAAGATGTTTGCTTGTTTCAGAGAGAAGTTTGCATGTTTAGATATTAAAAATCTGCTTTCTTTAAGCGAACGCTGTGTTTTCATTACAGTGAGCTGAACACTGTTGGCCACTTTGGGGGCGTCGCTAAAACACACTGAGATGCAAAGAGAGGAAGTGTGTGCAGAGTTAGAGGCCAGTTCTGAGTCCCAAAGCAGCTTAATGTTGCTTTTTAAACTTAAAAATAATCATCTGGTTTAATAATAAAGTTTTATAACCGTTAAAGCTCAGAGTGTGTTTCAGCGTTAAATCTCACCTTGTATCTGCGAGAGCAACACAGTCAGTTACTGTGCCACGTATCGAGAAACTGATTGGTTGACGGCTCAGCTCATTTGCATAAAGTTTTTCCAGAATGGGAGAGCAGAGAGAGGACGTGAGCCGGTGCTCTGATGTGTCAGTTTTATGTGTATATGGTCGTCTCTCGTCTTGTTGTGGTGCTGTATGACACGTTGTGTTTGACGCAAATGAGAAATAAAAAAAAATAAAAAAAAACGAATATAAAAAGATGACGTCATCATATACGATGCTTAAAACTTATAACACTTCCTGCGTCCCCAGTGATAAAGAATCAGAAATGTGACATTTACATGCTCCTGTTTCAGACTGTCCCGATACAATTACTGTTAATATTCCAATCAAATTCACGCGTCATAAAAAACAAACTTAATTACAAGCAACATTCATACAGCCTTCCAAGTTCTGTTTTCCCCTGACCTTCGTCTTTACAGCACTGCAAAGACAGTGTGTTTGCTCTGGCTGTGACATCAGCAGCTGGTTTTTATTGTTTTGTACTCATTTCTTTAATACGCTGCGTAGTATTTTTACATCCAGCCAAACGAAATTCAGCCACTGACCTTGACTATCCTTGGTAAAGCTGTCCGCCCCCTTGTCAGCCTTGATTGAGAAACTTCTGAAAGTCAGATCCGTCCATCTGAGCGTCCCAATCAGTCTGAGTAGCAGGGCGGACAGAGAAGGACGTAGCAGTTCTGCAATCGTCTCGCAGACGGGATTCTGTGGTCCTTCTAGGATGGAATGGCTACTTAAACACTTGGTGGCTTAACATAGGCTAAACACAGAACTGAAGTCAAATGCATAGTAAAGAGTACATAGATGTAGATTTAATGTAGATAAACAGAAAAAAATGGCACAAAAAATATATATAAAGATGCTAAAATTGCTATGAACATGCAAATGGTAATAACTTGGTAATTGCATCCAAGTTATTAAAGGTGCAGTGTGGGGTCTATTAGCAGAAATGGAGTATAATAAACAAAACAAGAGTATAATAAAGGTGTAGGGGGGTCTATTAGCAGAAATGGAGTATAATAAACAAAACAATGTATTTATTAGTGTATAATCACCTGCAATTACAAATGCTTGTGTTTTCATTATGTTATGATGAGCCCTTCATATTTACATAGGGAGGGTCCTCTTTCAACAGACGCTGCTGCCGCCACCATGTTTCTACAGTAGCCCAGCACGGACAAACCAATCATTAGGCACGTTTACATGCAGCCTGATATTCCGTTAATAATCCGACTAATAGCTCAGTAAGAACAGAATACGTCCATGTAAACACCTCAGTCGGAATAGTCTAGTCTGATTGAGGCCATTCTGAATACGGTTTCTATCCGATTGATCGAGGTGGGTAATCCTGTAAATAATCCGTTAAATAGAAGAATAATATCCGTGTAAACTCCTGTATCTGATTACATTCCCTATCGGAAAGTTTGAGTCCGTTCTGATCATGTTCGTCACGTCATAGTGAAAGTTTATACCGTTCAACATGGCGGAGCAGAAACTGGTCTGCAGAGGAGACGAAGTTTATGCTCTGATCTTTAAAAGACGGCGGTGGGACGGACGTCCAGCTTATGTGTCTCAGAACACGACGTCTTCCTCTCGGCCTTCTTTAATAAGGACATGTGAAGGACGTTTTCCTGAGTCTGACATCATTTTAAAGCAATTAAAAACACAAGCGCTGCTCACTGCTGCTCATCTAGGTGCAATCTGCAACATGACCACTAGATGCCACTAAATCTTACACACTGCACCTTTAATTTGGCTAGTGGAGCACATACAGGTTGCATGAAAGTTTCACCGTCTAAAATAATGTACACTAATGTACAGTAATGCACTCATTTTGTGGCCAAAATAAATTCTTTGCACTGTTTTTAAACATAAAAGTGAGAAAAGTCAACGCATTGTATTAACCTCTTCAACTCCTTGAGACCACCGGTGGTTCCAAAACGCATTTCATCATATTCTTCATGACTTTCATATTTCATAAGCTACATTCTAAAGGTGGGGGTTGTATGAGAGCTGTAACTGTCTTCTTTACAGTCAAATAGATGAGTGATGTAATTTTAAATCCTTATAATAAAAGAAGCTGAACTCACAATGTAAAAATTATTTTTATAAAAAAAATACAAAGAGCGTCTAAGATTTTTGGCTTTCAGCAGTAAATTGTAAGCATATAGCAATATGTGTGATCATAAAACACATGCTCTGTTAATTTGAGGGGAACCTTTACAAAAAATAAATAAATAAAATAAACATTTGCATTTATTTCTTGCAGTTACTGAATAATCTGTCTTACGATTTGGTCATGTAAATTCAGATGGACAAACCAAAATATACCCTGGAGAATATTAAGTGTCTATCTGCCATTACTGTCCGTTCAGCGTCCGTCGGGTCTTTTCGTGTTTATTTTTACAAAGCTAGCTTTGCTTCCAAACCTTTGGCCTACAGTGTAACCGGACAGATATTCTAGTCTGTCTAGTACGTTTCCAGTACAGTCTACGCTGCAGTAAAACACTCGTTCACCAGCTCAACAAATACAGAAAGAGGAAAGAGCTGCCGCTTATCAGCTGCTCTCAGATACGCCGGCCATCACCTGCTCTCTTTCACTCCTTTTTCAGGTACCTACCAAGAGTCAACACATTAGAGATGAATGGAGGTGAACTGGTGACATTAAGATTGATTACAGCTCACCCTGCTCTCTCGCTGAACGCAGGGGGTCAGAGTTCACCCAGCTCTGCTCTGTTTGTCCTCTCTTTGCTGTTCCACTCATTTGGACGTTTATCGTCTGTTTAATTACTCATAAAGAAGCCTCTGGTGTCACTCTGGAGGACCTTCTGTACAGTGATTAGTGCAGTTAGCACCATGCTAACTGGTGCACATAAACTTCCATTACTTGTTAGCCACATTAGCCTCACAGCTGCAGTGCTTGATGGTGGATTCTACCTATTTTTCAAAATTCCCCCATAACTCAGTGTGTGAGGTGTAAACAGAGGTTCAGAGCGGTTTGGTGTGAAATGGTTCAGATGTCTTTACAGTGGTGGTGATAGGAACCAGGGGTCGCCATGACTACAACACAAATATAGACATTTTATTTACTATCCAGAACCACCAGTGAACCTACACGAGTCTTCTGAGTTTATATGGAATGTTGATGATGGAAAATAGTGGAAAATCTGAAATAATAAGTTTTCTTTGGGGACTATTTTGCCTCACAGCGCCCTGCATGTATCCCTCCACCATGAATGGAGTTTAAGTTCTCTAAACTATCATAAAACAGTCATCAGGCAGTGAATTCATAACCATTTCATGTAGGAACTTTCTGTGAGGGAGCTTTTAGAGGTGGACGTCTGGTTCCTATCACCACCACTGTGAACAGTTCTGACTCGGTAAGTTTATCTAGAACAGAACGTTTCACACCAAACCACTCTGAATGACTCTGTTTACATCTTAAACATTTAACCATGCATAAATTGCGAAATGTCGGGGGAGTTCCCCTTTAATTACATATCTAAAATCTAATATCTAAAAGCTTTATTTCTTTAAGAGATTTGTTTCTAAGACAAGTATAAACAGTGCTGTTAATGTCTTACTTTACAAAGGATTTAAATGCAAAAATATATACATATCTTTTAAAAATGGACCCAGACTAGTAATTCGGTCCTCAGGCAGCGCAGTGTGATCTTCAGTCATGTTGGAACAGTTCTTCAGTGTCTCCTCATGAAGCTGCTGAATTGAAAATACAAGATATTTCGGATTGGTTCAACACTGTTTGGTCACTGTATAATTCCAGAAACTGATTAAATAAATTAATGTCCAAACCTTTTACTGGTTCTGTATGGAGAAGTCCAGTTTTCATTGTGCTGGACAAATTAGTCCATTTATCTTGAGATCTCATGCCATTAATTCTCTCTAGTTTCAGGATCTGAACGACAGCTTGGTTCGGTCCTGCTGCAGCGACGTCGAGGAGTTCCTGTGTGATGTTGACTGCAGCGTAGCCGCCAGCCGGGATGTTTTCCGTCTCTTTGAACAGCAGCGAATGAACGGCCAGGGGATGGAGGAGGAGGAAGAAGAAGAGTGGCTGGAGGCTCAGGAGAAGGTACAGTAGGACAGTGATAATGATATCGCCCCCTACACTTCCTGTAGTGTATTACAGTCTGTCAGAGTGACTGTGTGGATCATATGAACATTATAGAGCTTTTTAAATGAAACAGTAGAAGCCATATCGCCCCCTACACTTCCTGTAGTGTATTACAGTCTGTCAGAATGACTGTGTGGATCATATGAACATTATAGAGCTTTTTAAATGAAACAGTAGAAGCCATATCGCCCCCTACACTTCCTGTAGTGTATTACAGTCTGTCAGAGTGACTGGGTGGATCATATGAACATTATAGAGCATTGTGTGCTCTTTTTAAGTAAACGCTGAGTCAACAACTAATTGGCTTTTTGTTGACTTATTGTTGCAGCTCTAAACGTAACTTTGATCTCTGTGAGTACAAACACACGCAAACAGCAAAAGAAAAAAAGAGCACAGAGCATCAAAGAGCAGCTCATCAATGGCCTTAATCCCAAGGCGCAGTCACTACAAGGCTGTGTCCTTTCACCTGGCGTGCTCTCACCTGTCCCAGGACACAACCTCAGTCCCACAAAGCTTGACAGAGTCGAACCCTCTAAGAGGCGACCTGAATGAACAAAGAGTCACAATACGTGTGTTTACAAAAAACACAAGCTGCAGGGACAAAGCGGCTGGGGAGTTTCATCGAGAGCTGCAGCTGAATGGAGCTGTACTTGACTGACATCAGGCTTTAAGTACTGAGTAAAGAAGCTTCTTGGTTGAAGCAAAAGTGCTAAGCATGATGTACTGTCAGCTATTAAGATGGACAGAAGAACTGACCAATTTCAGGCTCCTACTGCGGCGCATTTTTGTCCATTTTTATACACTGCAAAAAACGTATTTTTGACTTTATCCTAAATATAGTCAAGAAATCATATTTTTCTGGTTCAGATTGTTTTAAGCTTAATCTAAGATTATTTAACTTATTTCTAGATGTTTTTTTTACTTGTTTTAAGTAAAAAAGTAAAATTATCTCACTATATTTAAGCAACAGAACACAGAGGGAGTGTGTTATCGCCAATAACATCACGCTGTGATTTGGTCGCCGTAGATCATCAGAGCCGTGATGTTATTGGCGATAACACACTCCTCGAGTGTTCTATTGCTTTAATACAACAGTTAAATAAATACAGTAATAAATTAATAAACTGGGCCGTGAACGCGGCGTTTAATATGTTTTAATGTTCGCAGTTCCTTCACCAAATTATAGTTCCTTAACGAGCAGCTTGTTGCTACGTCAGAGTAACGAGCTCCGCCCACTCGCTGCACAGCCGGCAGTTCGTTCTCCAGCTCCTCACACTAAACTCCCAAACTGTCATCACCACTGAGCAGCTTTTCTGTTTTTTATAGCGGCAGTTTTATGGCTCAGTCTGATTTGGTCAGACTCTGAAGATCAGACTACACGTTTGGCGAATGGTGTTGGGTTCATTTCTGGCTGATTCCAGGTTGTTTAGCTGTTCTTCTGTCTCAGCTGCCGACTGAAAAGCTGCTCAGTGGTGATGACAGTTTATTTAGTGTCGTCTCATCTTCAGAGTCTGACCAAATCGGCTGTCAGTCAAATGTGATCTTAAAAGTGTCCGTTTTCTGTTTGTGGCAAAGTAAGAAGTGGAAACGATCAAATGGCTTCAAACGTCTCCTACAGCTGTCACAGTCGTTGCTTAGCTTAGCGGAGTGATACAGCACGTTTAGAACGCGTCTCAACCAATCAGCTTGCGTGGCCGGAACCAACTGTTGTATAATGGCGGATAATTTTGCTCGTTCTAAGAAATGAGCTTGAAACCAGCAAAATTACTGCCAGTATAGTGAGATAGTTCTACTTCATAAAATGACCTAAAACAGGTAAAAGATGTCTAGAAATAAGCGAGATAATCTTATAATAAGAGCACAACCATCTCAAAATGGGAAATATTAGACATATTGACTAGGTTTAAGATCATTTCGCTTCAGAAGAGACCATTTTTGCAGTGTAGATGCAGTTTGAGACAAGCGTGATGGTTCAGACACACAGGCTGCACCTGCTAATTGATGGGCTATAAGCTTCCTTTACTTGTTAGCTACATTAGCCTCGTAGCTTTGGCTTAACACGTCTTGGCTGATGGACCAACCTGCTGAAATGGTGCTTTAAGCTCCCCCATATGAGGTCAGACGGAGGGTACATGCTTAAAAAAGATGGTTCTTCAAGGGTTCTTTAGTAAAGACAATGGTTCTGTATGGAACCATTAGTTCTATATAGAACTATTTCATGCTTAAATGGCTCTCTGCGTCGGAGTGGTTGTTCAGAGTGATGGACAATGTGTTGTCTATGATCTTACAGAGTACCAAGAAGGGTTCTGCTATTGTTACCATGTCAAGCTTCTAACAATAGACAAACCCTTTTTGGTGCTATATGGAACCTTTTTCAAAAGGTTCTACAGAACCATACACTCTTAGAAAAGATGGCTCTTCAAGGGTTCTTCAGTAAAGGGAGTGGTTCTGTTTAGAACCATGAGTTCTACATAGAATCATTCCATGCTTGAATGGTGAAATGGTTCTTCGGATTTATGGAGAACGTGTTGTATATATACACAACACATTCTCCATCAACCTGAAGAATGCGACCACCATGCAAAGAACCATTTAAGCATGAAATGGTTCTATATACAACTCATGGTTCCATATAGAACCACTGAAGAACAATCTTTTTTAAGTATTAAACCTGTTCACCTTCAAGACGTCATCCTGCTCTCAGACAAACACGAGGAACCCGCGCAGGCCGTTATCAAACGCTGGCGAAACGTTTGGGGAACAAAGCCTGCAGGTCAACGGCCATGTGAACAGAGGAAGCTCTCGGGGGTTAATGATTAGCGCCGCCCGCCTGCCGTCTGTTCTGTTCCTGTGTATAATTTAAACGGTGACGTTACGCTTTATAACAGAGACATAAATCCTGCTAATCGCCTTTCCTTGACGTGCTAATCGGAGAGGCCTCAAAGGCCGAGAGCGAAAGCTGCAGCGGTCCCGTTTCCCACCTCAAAGCAGCTGGACACTGAGTCCTCCAGAACAGTCTGGGTGGAGGAGTCGACTCAGACTCCTTTATGTTTGTTCTTGCACCACATTCAGCTGAAAAGGCCAGCACAGACCAGCAGGGAACGCATGGTTTATGCTGGACTAGTGCTGATTTAAATGGTCACCCTGCATGGTCATGCTGGTTGACCAGCATACCAGCATCCAAAACACAACACATGCTGTTTTTTCTAGCAGTGTAAGGAAATGTTATCCTGGCAAAGAGAGAACGCACTGGTGTCACCGAGTGTGTTTTACATGCACTCAATAATCTGATCATAATCAGATTTCTGCAGTTACCTGATTATTCAAATGGTCGTGTAAACAGCACACTCTGATTTCTTAGACTGGAGTAAAGTCTAGAAATCTGATTAAGAAATCCAATAAAGAGGCTGGATTTTAGCTCAGCAATCAGATTTCTCAGTGCTGTAAACTCTTACTCTGATTTCTTTCGCATTTCTCAGTCTGCGCATGAGTGAAAACAGACGGCGGTACCAGAAATAAGCGAGCAGCGTCGCCGCGAGAGACAGCAAAACACTTTTAAAGCTGAAACCAAATCCATGCTTGACGAAATGAAGGATTTAAATATTCTTCATCGTCAAGCTGCAGCATGAAGTTTGAGTTTTACGTTACGTTTACATCACGTCTTCTTCTGTGCGTTTGCTGGCTGGTTGTAAAGCAGAAATCCGATTACTGTCTGACTCATGTAGACCTAGAGTTTCCCCATTATCTGATTACCCAAGTGCATGTAAACGCGTTGATCTGATTACTGACAAAATCTGATTTTCTGCAGTTATCGGATTATTAAGTGCATGTAAACACATTCAAAAAGTGGTAAAAAGGTTTTTTCCCTCTCAATAGTTTTGCCTCATTAAAAGGTTCATTTCTCTCATGTTTTCAGTCTGAGGTCGAGCTGAGAAGCAGTAAAGACAGTTTTTCAGAAACGTTTTTTCTCGTTTTTGCTCCAGGGCACCAGTAATTCAGCCCTTTGTTTTCCTTTTTAGAGATTCAGAATCGTTTTCCTTTTCTTAGAAACGCTAATAGAAAGAGAAAAAGGTCTGTCCACTGTGATTTCAGCAAAAATCACTACTATTTTAACTCTCTAAGTTGAGCTGCTGCTTTGCCAAACTATTTAAATATAATAATATAGCTAGTTATGTAGGTAGTTTCCTAAAGAATTTAGGAGGTTCTTTTCAAAAAATTAGGAGGTTCTTTTCAAAAAATTAAAACAAAATCTGGGCAAAATGTAAATAATGTGTGTTTTTCGTTTGTTTTCCACAAAGCAAAACTGCACACAACAACAATAACTCATCAAATTCAATCATAACAAAATATCTCCTGGTGTGGGTTCAAAGTGTGCACTACACACTTAAAATAGACGGTTCTTCAAGGGTTCTTTAGTAACTGCAACAGTTCGGTTCAGAGCTATGAGTTCTATGTAGAACCATTTCATGCTTAAATAGTTCTTTGCATGGTTCTTCAGATTGATGGAGAATGTGCTGTAGATGGTATACCTTTTGAAAAGGGTTCTTCTACTGTGACGAGGTCAAGCTTATAACAATAGAACCCTTTTACTAAAGAACCCTTGAAGAACTATCTTTTCTAAAAGTGTATTTTTGAAAACAGTTCTATATAGCATCAAAAAGGGTTCTTCTGTCATTACAAGCTTGACATCATCGCAATAGAAGAACCCTTTTTGGTGCTATACAGAACCATATCCAACACATTCTCCATCAATCTTAAGAACGATTTCACCATACAAAGAACCATTTATGCATGTAATGGTTCTATATAGAACTAATGATTCTAAACAGAACCATTCTTTTTTTAATAAAGATCCCTTGAAGAACCATCTTTTTTTTGAGTGTATGGCTCCGTAGAACCTTTTTGAAAATATTTCTATATAGCACCAAAAAGGTTCTTCTGTCGTTACAAGCTTGATATAACTGCAATAGACGAACCCTTTTTGGTGCTACATAGAACCCTATACAACACATTCCCCACATTCCCAAACTGAAGAACTGTTTCACCATATAAGAACCATTATACATGAAATTTATGCACGAAATGGTTCTATATAGAGCTAATGGTTCTAAACAGAGCCATTCTCTTTTACTAAAGAACCCTTAAAGAACAGTGTGTATAGATTCAGAGCTATGAGTCTGAAATTCTTCATATAAAATGACGACGTTCTTTCACTATTGCTGTGAGAACCGTGACTGAGGGTCTAAGCTGCTGCTAGTAAAGACGCTGACTAACGTTTTGCTGTCCGGTTCTTCCAGGCTGTCCAGCGAGATGTTTCAGACTGTCCCATCTGTCTCACTCCACTGCACTCGCCCAGCGGCAGACGCGTCCTCCTGCTCTCCTGCTCCCACCTCTTCCATGAACCCTGCCTTCAAGCTTTTGAACGGTTCTGTGTGGAGGGAACCGCCACCTGCCCGCTCTGCCGCCGCCACTACACCGCCAGGCCTGCGCAGGGCGCCAACACTTATGACTCCAAATGACTTTTAATGACATGCTGACTTTCTTAATGTTGCACCGGAGCTACGAGGCTAATTTACACACTTAAAACAGGCGGTTCTTCAAGGGTTCTTTAGTAAAGAGAAAGGTTCTGTTTAGAACCATGAGTTCTATATAGAACCATTTCATGCCTAAATGGTTCTTTGCATAGTGAACTAGTTCTTCAGATTGATGTGTTGTATATGGTTCTACGTAACCCTCTTCTATTGTTACAAGCTTGACACTGTAACAATAGAAAAACCCTTCCTGGGGCTTTATTCAAAAAGGTTCTATATAGAACCATATACAACACATTCTCCACCAATCTGGATAAGAATTCCACCATGCAAAGAACCATTTAAGCATGTACACAGTCCTTTGAGTGTTCATGGTTCTACACAGAACCACTGTCTTTGCTAAAGACTCCTTAAAGAACCATCATTTTACGAGTGTATTGCGTATTTGCTTGACAAGGTAACAATAGCAGAAGCCTTTTTGGTTCTATATGGAACCCTATACAACACATTCTCCATCAATCTGAAGAACCATTTCACCATAAAAAAGAAGAACCCTTTAAGCATGAAATGGTTCTATATAAAATGTATAGATCTAAATCTATACGTTTACTAAAGAACCCTTAAAGAACCATGTTTTTTGAGTGTGTGGCTAACAGGTAATAGAAGCTTATACCCACCAATCAGCATCGTGAAAGGGTTCTTCAGAGTGACGGAGAATGTACTATAGACAATTCTATACAGAACCTTTTAAAAGGGTTCCATATAGCACCAAAAAGCGTTCTTTCTATTGTTATTGTTTTGGGTGCTATACTGAACCCTTTTAAAAAGGTCCTGTACAGAACCATCTATAGCACATTTTCCAGAACAATTTCATGATGCAAAGAACCCTTTAATCATGCAAAGGGTCCGTTGAGTGTTCATGGTTCTATATAGTACCATTATTTTTTACTTTTTTAATAAAGAACACTTAAAGAACCTTTTTTTTTTTTTGAGTGTAGCCTTATGAACACAGTTCTGCAGTAAAGTGTTATTCATGGTTCTTTATGAAACCAAAAGTGTTTCTTCTATGGCAACATTTAATGTGGCCCCTTTTTTTAAAGAGTTAATATGTCTGCGCTGCTGTCGCAGATCACAGACAGACTTTATCCTGAGTAGAACCTTATAAATGATCCATGGACGTCCAAGTCCAAGTGTGAAAACGCCCTAAGCAGCAAACTTCAGACACCAAACATGCCTTGGTCAATTACATTCGGCGAAAGGGAGGAAACTGGTCGAGTTCGAATCCTTCATGTCAGCTATTTAATAACCTTCTAAATGATCATTGGTGGTCTGTTTTTACCCACTGAAGTGCTGAAGACTGTGGCTGTGTGTACGCTGAGCCGCGAGGTCTTTACCGTAAAGCAAATGAACAGCGGACTGGGGCCGTTTTGTTTTCACAATGCACAAATCAATCAAACCACAAAATGAACTACAAACAAACCAAACTTCGTCGACACGTGGTCTTAGTTCGGTTTGTTTTTGGAGCCGTTTAGAGGGTCTGAGTTTGTTTGGCGTGTTCACATTCGCACAGAAAACCATGACTTACTTCAGACACCAAACATGCCTTGATCAACTAATTCGGCGAAAGGGAGGAAACTGGTCGAGTTCGAATCCTTTAAATGTCAGCTATTCAATAACATTATAAATGATCCTTGGTGGTCTGTTTTAATGCACTGAAGTGCTGGGAGACTGTGGCTGTGTGTTCGGCGAGCTTCAAGCGGACCGAGACCGTTTTGTTTTCACAATGCACAAATCAATCAAACCACAAAATTATCTACAAACAAGCCGAACCACCTCGAGAGGTGGTCTCAGTTCGGTTGGTTTCTGGGGCTGTTTAGAGGGTCTGAGTTTGTTTGGCGTGTTCACATTCGCACAGAAAACCATGCCTCACTTCAGACACCAAACATGCCTCGATCAACTACATTTGGCGAAAGGGAGGAAACTGGTCGAATGCAAATCCTTTAAATGTCAGCTATTTAAAAACCTGTAAAACAGAGAGAGAATAAAGTCACACTCACTGACAGGTGTCGACTCCTAAAACACACGACACTGAACACAGACAAAGCCACAAGGTCACAAACTTTATTGTAAACAGAAAAATGTACAATGTAAACTTAAAAGAAGGTACTGGACTACACAAATACCACAAACAGGACGTCGGGGAGAAACAAACACAAACAGAGAAGAAAAAAAAATACTGAACAAAAATACATTCACACGTTGTGGACAGACAGAAACGCTGGAGCTTCTCTTAGTGCTGACGTTCCTCCGAGTGCAGACACAGGTACTAACGTCTGACTACGTCGACACAGAACGGCTGCTAGAATGATATATGATACAATAACTCTGCTCATTTATGAGAAATCAAAGACCCCAGCAGTGAATATACGTTAAGACCATTTATTTCAGCTTTAAAGATTAGGAATTGTGGTGGTGATGAAAGAAAGACAAGGATGAGTCCAAAAAAAATAAAAATAAAAATAATAAGAAAATAACAAAAACTGACCACTGAGAGGGAATTAAATGGACTAATTCCCTTTTCGTTTCACAGTATAATGAGCATAATTCACTGTAAATATCCTGCTTTGATCAACCCAATGTGACTGGCTCAGAGAAACCAGAGGTAGGACGTCCCTCAGCTTTTAGGCAATCCGTCTGTGGTCAGCATTTATGGTCCTTTAAAGACCTCTGAAGTCGCGTTGTTATTCAGTAGTCGCTGATACGCCTGTATTAGGAAGTTCGAGTCTAAGCTGGTCTCCTTTATGAGTTTCTGAAAAGCGTCTCGTGGTCAACGATAATATTCTGATATGTAAATTTCCCCCCAGAACGTCTCTGGATCCTCTGAGTTAAGTAGTCAAAATACAAACAGTGCTAAGAACTGAAAGATTAATCGTTTTTATATCAAAAATCACAATTTTAAAGAGTGCAACTTTCAAATCGCAACAGCCGCAGTTTTAATAACACCCTATATTATCACACCGTTGTGTTAACCTTTGCCTGTAAATGAGTTCGGCCAAACAAAAGCAACCAAACACCCGTGTAGAGAACAGTACAGACGATATTTTATCGTTATTGTGACAAACTGTGATAAACTAACTGCCAGTCTGGTGTACTATGTTGTGCATTCAAGCTTTAAGCTAGAAATAAAATTATATTCTAGCTTTCTTGCCCAAAATAACAGGCAAGGAACTTAATTTAACGGTTTGAAAAATCGCAATTAGGTATTTTCCTTCGTGCTAACTGTAGGCCTAAAACATCACATTTTCCACAAACTGTGTTGAGTTCCCACACTACACTCTTAAACACGCTCTACATATAAAATGTATTGTTATTTCAACAGTGCATCAGAGAAAAAACAACGTCATCAGTCAACTTGACAAACTACTGTAATAAGTGTTTATAAATGTTTATGTACATTCTTAAAAATGATGGCTCTTTAAGGGTTCTTTAGTAAGGACAATAGTTCTATACAGAACCACAAACACACAAAGAACATGATTAAAGGGCTCTTTGCATCATGAAAGGGTTCTTCAGATTAATGGAGAATGTGCTGTAGATGGTTCTATATGGGACCTTTTTGAAAACTTCCATATAGCACCAAAAAGGGTGTCAAGCTTGTAAGAATCGAAGAACCCTTTTCAAAAAGGTTCTATATAGAACCATCTATAGCACATCCACGCACATTTTTCATCAATCTACAGAATTCTTTCACAATGCAAAGAACCCTTTAATCATGGAAAGGGTTCTTTGTGTGTTCATGGTTCTATATAGAACCATTTTCTTTACTGAAGAACGCTGGAAGAACCACCATTTTTAAGAGTGTTGCCTTGTGAACACTGTTATACAGTAGTGTTATTCGTGGTTCTTTATGAAAACAAAAGTGTTTCATCTATGGCGACATTTAAAGTGGCACCTTTTTTAAAGAGCGTATGACATATTATAAATGAAAATATCATAATCGCACTGATAAAAACTGAGGATGTTAGAAAAATCGCAATTAGATATTTCCCCTGAATCGTTCAGCTCTAATAGTGCCACATATGCGCTAAAGCAAGCTAACACTCTGCACACTGAAGCTGAGTCTACTACTCAACCTCAACACTGTTTTACACCAACTGCAGTTGCTCAAACTGTAGGTTACAAATGCTGACATTAACCACCGTATTTCAAAAGCTCGCTGGTTTGCATGGGATGTTCCAGTGAGGTTGTCAGTCCTATTACGCCAGTTCAACGTGCAGCAGAGTTTGCATGCAGAAATATTCATATCACTGCTGTTGGAACAAAACCTTGTATCTCCAAAATGGTAACTTTACAGGACAAGGAAAAAATCTTTACTTTTACTGTGAGTCAATGGAACCAGACGTCTTTTCAAGTAATGCTGGGCCATTTCTGTTGGTCCATTCATCATGAAATTTACAAAGAATGTAAAAGGCAGGCATTTTCAGATTATGTCAAAAACTGAAAAATGACAGCCGTCCGTGGTCGAAAGTCCAATAGAGCATAGTTGTCCTCGCTCTCTCTGGGTGGGCAGAATAGCCCTCCGTCTCCCCCCATCACTTAGCGCAAAGCTAGCTAGTGCAGACATCTGTTAGCTGACGTAACAGATCTGGTGGTTAGCGTTCTCCTCCAAGCGTGTTCGGCTGTCCAGTGACGCTGTGCTAGCGCCAGTTCAAACAACGTGGTGGAGCTTCACAGGACTCAGAGGAAGCCTGTGTTTGCCTTCGCCCTCCTAGCGCTGGTGGTTTCGTGTGATCGGGGGAAAAATCCCCAAAAACAAAAACAAAAAAAATGAAAAAATGACAAAAATGGAGATGGTTTTGTTCCTCAGTAGCGATACTTTGACTCTTTTCGACTTTGCAGTCCAGTAACATTGGAGGGAAGAGTGCATGTGCAAGAAAATATATAAGATTTGGAACAGTTTTCAAAACGCCGTTCATTTTTCCCGTAAAGAAAACCAGCTCAGACCCGAGATCCCTATACGATTGACAACGACTGCAGAATGACGGCACGACTTCAGAGGTTCATTATGAGGTTCTCATGAAAGTGAGAGCGAGAGCGCTTTGACTGTCCGTCTGAGAAAATCCCCCCACATCGATTAATGCACACTTTCTCCCCCAGAAACATTTCATACAAAACACCGAATCCTTGTGCAAATCAACAAGAAAAATTGCATACTTTGTACATATTATATTACAAAACAATCGTCCTTCATTCACGACGGCGAAATTCGCCAAACGCACGCGAGCTTTTCTTTATTCACCAGACCTTTTCACAGGCTCGAAATTCAGTGTCCCTCATGTGAATCCTTTAACCTTAATACGATATAAGAGTCTAATCACACTTTTAAAACCACAAGAAGCCCAGACGTCATTCCAGCTCTCAGAGTTTGATCGCTGGTATCCGACTTCGCCTTTGGCCTTTTTAGCTCCTGCCTTTGATGTGTGTTTGTTTGTTTTTTGGTTTTATGTTCTGACAGTCACATGAGGGTTCACAGTGAATTAGTCTATCAAAAGGTGCTCATATATACTCTCACGCAGATTTACTCTCACACACACATACACAGTGCAGGACAACTACTAGAAAAGCCTATAAAATCCTCCCCTGTTTAAGGCATCAGAGGTGAATTTTTGACAACGGACGACGTCGCAGAGTGACCAGTTATCTGGCCAGTTCTACGAATAACACACTGTACATAAGGCTGAGACGCCAAATGTGCCACATCTACAGTCACCCATTTATTTAATTTCCAGTCAAAATGGCCATTAATTATGAGTTGAAATCTTATGAGTAAGATTGTTTTTTTCAGCTGTTTCTGAGGAGATCAGATGGAAAATAATCCACTTGCATAAGTAAAGAGAAAGATACGATGGCGTTTCAGGGCCACTGTTAAAAAAAACATAAAAATAATAGACTTAAATAAAGTCATAATATTTCGAAATCAAAGTCGTAATATTTCGAGAATAAAGTCATAATATTTTGAGACTAAAGTCGTAATATTTCAAAACTGAAATCGTAAAGTTACAAGAATAAACTTGTGGTATTTCGAGATTAAATTTGTAATATTTCAAGAATAAAGTCATAACATTTCTAGAATAAAGTCACAGTATTTTGAGAATAAAGTCGTAATATTTTGAGAATAAAGTCACAATATTTTGAGAATAAAGTCACAATATTTTGAGATTACAGTCGTTTCTGGTGCTGATGTGTGAGGAGACTGAGTATTTCTTTATGGGTGAAACAGATATGAAAGTATAACTTCACCAACTCGTTTTAACACAAGGATGTTGCTAACTTCCTTTTCCAAACCTTTGGCCACAATATTGCGACTATTCCTGGTATTAATGCCACTTTAAATGTCATAACTCTACGACTTTACTCTCAAAATATTACAACTTTATCCTCAAAATATTACGACTTTATTCTCAAAGTCTAATATCTTAATTTTTTTTTAACAGTGGCCCTAAAACATTGTAGAAAGACAAATGAACATGAGTTTCCCAAACTATCAAAATTGGAAAAAATCCACAACATTATGGGATGTGTAGCTGTCAAGAAGCTCTTACTGAAAAAATTAAGACAAAAAATTTAAAAATTAAAATTAGAACTAGAACATCAAAACTGGACATCTGAGATGAGGAGTGGAGCTGTTTGAGCCTAAATCTGTAATTGCTAAATCAACTTCTACGCCTGAACTTTGGAGGTGTGTCTGCAGATTCTTTGAGAAACTAAAAGTGAGTCTCCTGAACAGAATGGAAGCAGAATAAAGGGAAAGAAACACTCAAACATCTGATACTCAGTTTTTAAGTTTTTCTTGAAAACCTGAAAAATGAACAACTCACTTTAGGGCTGCACTGACTGGAAATCAAATAAATGAAGGGTGTTCTCTGCTGAACATTCTGCTGAAAACAAACATATCTATATACACACGGAAATGGAACATTTACATTGAGATTTTTTTTTGTTTTTGAGCAAAATATCTGAGCTACCGAAACCAGCCTGTGAGTTCTGAAACAGAAACAACTGCAAATCAGCTATATCAGTAACTTTTAACTAATAGTAAGAAAGGAATTAAGGCTTGCACGTTTCAGCAATGTACAGCCAGTGCTGCTCTGTCCACTTTAGCTTCCTACACTGGTCTTGGTAAACAGTAGCTACTTGTGGAGCTAAATGTGCTATAATACAAGCGTATGGCCAAGTGTGTTAGATTAGAATTCACATTTGACTTGAGTTGCTGCAGCTTTTTATGCGAAGCGAAGCACCTTCAGAAATACCATCTCGGTGCTTCAGCACATTACATTACAGATATTACCATAAATAAGGCAAAACATGTAAATGGTTGTTTGATATTTGATCACTATGAAGGCAAAAAACAACAAAAACAATCGCCGGTTTGTTGGGATGACCGAAAAAACAGGACAAAAAAAGGCAAATAGGAAGGTTAAGGTCAACCAACAGCCTTTTCTTTTACTATCGGCAATGAATATAATGCCGTCTTTCATCTACTTTAGCAGAAATGTCTGTAGACCACTGCAAGGGACAGTGTGAACAGTATAACTGGACTCTGCAGTAGTGGTTCTACTGGGTAAGATGCCAGTCACTGACCTGCCCACGGCTGTGTGTCTAACAGCCAATCTACGTTAGCCCTAAATTTTGCGGATGCTTAACATTGGCCTTTTTACGTGAAACACCTTGCACAGGTGAGTAAGCCATGACAGGTTATTAATACATAGTGTTATAAGGCATCACAGAAGCTTAAAAGCCTACGCTAATGCTAATGCTGGTCAGACTAGCCATATTGAGCTAACCAGCTTTCCAACAACCAATGAAAAAGAAGGGAAAGAATGGAACTATCGTCAGAGGAGTGCAGTCGAAAGGCTCTTCAAGTGTGTAGAGCAGTGAGTAGAAAAACAGAATAACGGAAAAGATTGTCAGACAAAAAAAAGCATTTTAAATAAACGAATATATACCATAGCGCAAAGTCTCGCGTCTCCGCACGTTAGAGGACCAACAGAGGACGTCTTTCTTTCTCTCTGAAGACATTTCGCTCTCGCTTGGTGATCCATCTTCTGCCGTGGAGACGGACCGAAGCTGGTAATTTCTTCTTACTTCAGGAACATTTTTCATTTTCTTTAAGGAGCAAATTTAAGGGCGCCACCCTTTCTTCGCTCGTAAAAACACATACCCAACCCATACCCAACGTGTATGTGTGTGCGAGCGTCTCAGAGAGTTTTCTGATGTCCGTTAGCGGCTATTTTGCCCGACTCCGGCTCCGTTGGGCTGTTTGACAGGTTCAATTTATCCAGACCTGAAAGCGAAGGAGATAAGAGAAAGGCCTTATTAAAGGGAGCTCCAGGACCTTCGCGCACTCGCAGACAAATTGGTCCTGTCAAATCTCCGTCCACAGCAATCTCTCTGGAAATACATTCAGTTTCGGAGGATTCATCCGTCTGGGAGCCTCCAGACAGAGCGTGTGCGTCTGACATACACCATATCAGTGCCATGCGGGCAGAGAAAGTTAAGTTAAAGTAAAGACAGATATGGAAAGACTGGAGGCTGGAGGACGGAGAGGCACAGGCAGTGAGGGGTCTCTACCTGACATTCAAATAAGCTATCTATGAAATTCATGTTAATTTTTCCCTCTAAACACTCTGAACCCAAAGTCCTTATTATAAAGCAAGACGATGTCTTTTTGGGCAAAACATTGCGGTGGACTGAGTCTGTACGGTGCTGTGTGCTGCCTGCTAAACAAAACTGCTAAATATCGTGTCATTTCTTTGAAGACTTGCCCCTGATTGGAACTGGTCCACATGGTGTCACTTGGTTGCTTGCATGGAGTCTCTAGTGGTGCTAAGATCTACACCAAGTTCTTTTTAAACCATGTTCGATTTGGGAAGATTTTGTTTAGTTCTTTTTAGTTCTGTTTAGACGGTCCCTTAAAGACTAATTACATGGAAAAAAAAATATTGTGCACTGTGAGACAGTCCCTTAAAGACTAAATACATAGAAAACATGTACACTGTTTAGACGGTCCCTTAAAGACTAAATACATGAAAAATGTCGTGCACCGTTTAGACGGTCCCTTAAAGACTAAATATGTGGAAAATACATTGTGCACTGTTTAGACAGTCCTTTGAGAAACTAAATACATAGAAAATATGTTGTGCACTGGTTAGACGGTCCCTTAAAGACTACATACGTGAAAAATATGTTTTCCCCTGTTTAGATGGTCCCTTAAAGATTAAATACATGGAAAACGTGCTGTGCGCCGATTAGACGGTCCCTTAAAGATTAAATACTTGTAAAATATGTTTTGCACTGTTTAGACGGTCCCTTAAAGACTAAATACATAGAAAATAAGTTGTGCACTGTTTAGACAATCCCTTAAAGACTGGAACGTTGATGTGTTTCAGCAAAATTGTACAATAGAAGATTTTTAAATGTATTTGGTTTTAGTTTGTCTTTCAGACCCATCAGTTAATGACGCCGTGAAACCTCCAGCAGCAACTTCCCTTTAAACCGTCTAGTTTCAGTTAATATCCTTATAAAACTTACAGAGAGGGTCATACAGCCCTCTTCTCTCTAACTCATGGACGAAATTGTCCATTTTTAGGTAATTTAAGCAAATTTCGATAAAAGGTGGCTGGTTTAACCAGATTATCTGAATAATTATACATATTTATTATATGCCATTTTGAATCTGAATAGTATTCCATGCATGCACACCCATGCAAGTGAACAGTTAGACTTCTTCTGCTTTCCCATCTGTCGAGTACCAGACAGGATTATCGTTTTGTGCAGAGGCACAAAAAAAGACATGAACACAGAGGCAAGCAGTTACCCAGAGCTTTGAGGAGCTCCTCTCTCACAGCGGAGGTGAACTTTCGCACCAGACACAGCGTGGTCACCACGGCGAACAGGAGATTGTAGGACAGGACGATGTAGAAGTTTCCCAACCAGTTAAATCGGCCAAAATCTCCCAACAGGTCAAACCTTGTTATTCCTGCAGAAAGAAAAGACATAGGGGTTTAATCAGTACCACTATGAGTGTAGTCAAATCTGGTTTTGAGCTGCATCCACAAAGACCTAATCATCTGAAAAGATCATCATCCACACTAGACCTGTAGGAGTCCAGGATGAAGAAGGAGGAGCACTGAAGATCCATCACATCTTCACCTATTTCAGATATAACTTTCTGGTAAATGCCCTCTGGTGACTTATATCCCTGTAGTGTATCTGTTCCTTAAAGAGGAATTCTCATTTTCTACATTTCTCTTCTTTCACATTTTATTTTCCAGAGGTTTAGTCATTAAGGGGCCGTCTAAAAAGTGCATAATGTGGAAGTTTTATTTTTCATCAACGTAACTAAAACACATTAAAATCACATCAAATCACTCAAAGAGAGTGGCGTCCCTTAACTGGCATTTGTAGTCAGGATTTTGCCTTCTTTGAGCTAAATACATGTAAAATATGTTGTGACCTGTTTAGACGGTCCCTTAAAGACTACATAGACAGTCCCTTTAATCAGCAAATACATGGAAAATGTGTTTTGCACTCTTTAGACGGTCCCTTAAAGACTAAAAACGTGTAAAGTATGTTTAGGGTCATACAGCCCTCTTCTCTCCAACTCATGGATTATTCATGTCATTATTCATTTTGTTCATGATCATTTACCGAAGTCTTGAAAATGAAACAGACCACAAAAACAATGAATTCAAAATGGACTTTTAAGAATTTAAAATTTTAATTTATTTTAATTTCATTTTTTTTTTTTATTTTAATTTTAATTTCAAATATTAATTTATTTTGTCATTTTTTAATTTAAATATTTATTTATGGACAGTATGTACTGCTCCTTTCACTCTGTTTTGAACACACTGTTACTGCTAGTGCTAGTGCACAGTGTTTCTGTAATATTTCTGTTTTCCTTTGTTCTACGATGCCCTTAGTATCATGGCAGCAAAATATAAAGTAATCGTAATGGGATCGGGAATACTGATCCATTAAAATGTGCCTGGATTAGCTCCCTATCAAATGCAAATATAATTACATAAATTTGTAATTAATCATGTAATCACGTGTTAATAATTCTGTAATTTAATTTCTGAGGGTTTAAAAAAGGCTACCTAAAATATAGGATTTCAAGCAGGATTGAAAGAGAGAAAGAATAAAGGAAGAAATGACGTAATGAAGCACTGAAAGAGTGAGAAAGAGACGGTAAAAGAGAGAAGAAAGAAGTTATGAAGTTCCTGAGCTGGACCAATCTCGATCGATACTGTTTTCCACTGCTCCGTCTTCAGGCAGAACCCTGACAGCTGATAAATGGCGTGTGTATGTATCTGTGGTGAGCAGGCTCAATATCCGCCCCGAACGGTCATTCTTCAGAATGACACTCAGGTCAACTCTGCTGGCGTTTATTTCCAGTTTCTCCCAACTTCTACCGATCGGGTCTATTATCAGTCCATTACAGTGATAGTCTGATGAATTATGACTGAATGAATTAGGACTGTGACCGAGTCCTGTTTATACTGTGGAGTGTCTGACCAGCGGTCAAACAGGGCAGAACCAGAGTTCATGCTTCTTTAATCAGAGACACTCATTAATAAACATCTCCTGACTAACACACTGCTTTAACGCTGCTTCTGTAATCCAGCATCCACCGTTCTTTACACCGGAACAGCAGATCATACAGGCTGGGATTAGTAACGGTTTTTAATGTTTTTGGATGCAGATTGGGATTAGTAATGCTGGATACAGATTGGGATTAGTTTTTTTTTTGTTTTTTTTTAAAGACACAGACTGGCATCAGTCATGTTCCTGTAATCCAGCATCCACTATTCTTTCCACAAGAACAGCAGATCATACAGATAGGGATTAGACTGGGATCAGTTTTGTTTACTTTTTTGAGCACAGATTGGGATTAGTAATCCTTTTCTGAAGGTTGGAACAGATTTGATTTTTTTTTTTACTTTTTAGACACAGATTGGGTTTAGTCATGTATTTTTTAACTTTTGTTTTGGACACAGATTGGGATTAATATTTTTTTTCAAAATTTTCTGGACAGTGGGATTAGTAATGGTTATTTTGGACACTTGGTTTTTTGGACACAGACTAGGATTAGTAATGTTATTTTGGATGTGGTTGGTTTTCTGGACACAGACTAGGATTAGTAATGGTTATTTTGGACACTTGGTTTTCTGGACACAGATTGGGATTAGTAATGGTTACTTTGGAAAGGATTTTGGGCACAAATTGGGATTAGTGATAATTATTTTGGATGTTTTGTTTAAACACTGAGGTCGGTAATGGTTATTTTGGATACAGTTGTTTTTTGAACATCATATAAAACAGCAGATTGAAAACAGCTGAACAATCCAAATTTGAATCAAAGATTACACAGATGAAGCAATTTTACTAAATCTAGCAGGTGCTTTTATATACAGGCTTTTGTATTTCAATATTATTGCTGTGACAGTACTCTTAAGTAGCTGGTCAATGGCCACTTAACAATGACCATGACAACTATGACTCAAGGCTGCTCAGTAAGCTAAACTAAACTCCAAAATATTCACATTTTAATCACCTCCATTCACATCAGAGTGTAGATCGTTAAACTAATCAGGAACACAGAGTCGCAGAGAGAGAACTGAGAAAGAGTCAGTAAGCGGGGGCGAGGCAGAGAATGTGGCCTTTTGGGTGACGGAGGTTAATTGTCTGAGTCTGAATGTCTGCAGTTTACCTTTCCCACCATTTTAAACACACTCCTGTCCCACACACACACACACACACAACCCCCCCCCCTCACACACACACACACACACACCCCTATTCAGAGTCTCTGCAGGACAATGAGTGTGATGGTGTGATTCAGAAGGTGATGGAAATATTCATGACTCTGATTTGGGCAGTTGCTTCTTTTTATCTATTCAAAGTGAAACTGTTAATGTTTCTTTAACTTTTAATGAGTCACTGTACTCCAACACACACACACCCACACACACACACGCCTGGACAACCTTACCGAGTGTTCGAGACATGACCGGCAACGCAGAGCTCAAGACCAAGATAGACACACAGCAACCGATGATCTACAAGAAAGATGAAAACAATCAAAAAACTAACTTCACACCCATAAAACATACAAATAATACTCTAATGTGGAGGTTTTGTCCACTGTGCAGCTCATCTGCCTGTAACCTGATCAAATCTGAGCTTAGAGGTGAGAGACTTACTGAAAAGGTGAACACCAGTTTGACTTTGTTCCACGATAAAGATTTTTTTTTTAAATTTTTACCCGGTTTTCTCCCCAATTTAGTCGTCTCCAATTCCACCCGCTAGTTAGGACTCCCCCAATCACACGATACTATCAACGCTAGGAGGGTGAAGGCTAACACAGGCTTCCTCCGAGACCTGTGAAACCAACCACCGCTTCTTTTCGAGCTGCCGCTCACGCAACGTCACTGGACAGCCGAACGCGCTCGGAGGAAAGCGCCAACCGCCAGATCTGTTACGTCAGCTAACAGACGCCTGCGCCGACTAGCATCGCGCTGAGTGATGGGGGAGAAGGAGGGGCCATCCTACCCACCCAGAGAGAGCGAGGCCAATTGTGCTCTCTCGGACTCCCGGCTACGGATGGCTGTAGCATCACCAGGGATCGAACTCGCGATCTCCTGATGATAGGGCCAACGCTTAGACGGTTGCGCCACTCGGGAGCCCATGATAAAGATTTTAATCCATCATTAATCCAACTTGATTAAGATCTATATTACAACTACTGGATTATTACGAATACTATTATTGTTGTTGTTAATTTGCTTTGTATATAATTTATTTATTTATTCTCATTTATGTATTTGTGCAGATTTCAGTTCATCTCGGCCACCCTCAGACTGACAGAACAGATATGTTATCCCATAACCCAGACTCGACTTTCTCGGTGTGAGTGTGAGAATTACCGTGGTCATGGTGGTGTCGTCCTTCCTGGGCGTGAGTCCTTTGAAGATGCGGAGGCTGTAGAAGCCCACCACAGAGGAAACCATCAGGTAACTACAGCAGAGTTAAGAACAACACACAGACACGCACATGTTGTAATACTGATGAGCTAGAACGCTGCAAGTCCCTTCTTTCCTGTCTTTCTATCTATCTACCATCTGTCTGTCTGTCTATTCACCTACCAATCTGCCCGTTTGTCTGTCCGGTTATCTGTCTCCCTACCTACCTGTCCGCCTGTCTGTATATCTATTGTCTGTCTGTGTCTGAATCCCAAATGACTGTTTCTTAGCTGTATTTTGCTCTGTTGGGCTGCAGGATCCAGTATTTAAATTCCTACGTAGTGCACTATGTAGGGAGCAGGGATCCGTTTGAGATTCAGCCCCAGTGTAAGAAGTAAGGCACCGCTGGATTGGTGCTAAATACAACTCGTGGTGGTAATTTGGTGACCAAAAAGTACTTATAAAGCAAAGGTTTCTGCACTAAACAGTGCTGTGATATCATATGTTCAAAATTACACGACAAAAAGTTAAAAAGTTCATGAAATGACTACAAGATACAGCGATGGGCGATGAACGTTCGCCTCATTTTGTGGTTGCTGGTTGCTTGGCAACGATACCATACTCTAAAGGCACTACGTTTCTTGGCGGAATACTTGTTGGCATTGAATATTATTACTAATAACAAATTATTTTCTGAAAAATTGTGCATTTTACCATATTTCATTTTGGCCGCCGTTTTATAAAAGCAATAAGCCACTTGATGCTGTGCTTTACAGTGGTTTTATCACAGGTAAGGGAGTTTTACTCCGCTTTGCGTCGTGCCTAATAACACCTGTGACAAAATCGCAGTATTGCACAACCTCTTTTGGCTTAATGACACACCTATCTGTCTGTATGTTTGCCTGACTATACATATCTATCTCTATCTATCCATCCATCTTTCTATCTTCTAATCATGATAACAAAGCTCAGAGTCAATGGAGAAGACGTCAGTGTTGTAGCATGGAGGATACATCATGAGGATGATTTCAACCACTGCCTGGACGACACCAAAAGTGGACAGGGAGGTGTTGCCGATGTCTGGATCCTGAAGAACAAGAGAGAGAGAGAGAGAGAGAGAGAGAAAGAGAGAGAGGGATTTAGTGTTTGAGAGGCCACTGCACCTCATTAGACAGCTGCATTTACTGTGTATATAATATTTTTACACATTATGTTCTAACGGTACTGTCAGCTATCGGCACTGTCCAGTCTGTGTCTATACTAGTACTGCACCTACACTGCCTCAATGGTATTATTACATCTATGGTACAATAACGTCCTCACTAGTATTACATGAATGCAAGTATTGTCCATACATTAGTCCTGTATCCACAGTAGGACTGTGTCTATATTCTTTTTATACATCCCTACATATTGCACAACTATTAACGGATGTTTTCGTTTACAGTGTTTAGTCAGTCGCTTCATTAACTGGACGTGGCTTGCATCACTGCATGGTCACTTACATAACATGTATGCTATTTTACTTACTTATTTTTGTAGTGCTCATTATATTTTATGGCTGTTTTAGTATATTTTATCATATATCTTTACTCTGTTTTTTTCTGTTTAAGCATCTGCATAATAGCGCACAGCAATACCTTTGCTCTTTTTTTCGTTTTGCCCTTTACTGAACTTTGTGCTGCTGTAATAGATGACTTTTATTTATCTTTATTTTATCTATCTGTCTATGGAGGTATTGCATCCATGCTATGACTGCGTATGTGCTATGAATGAAATATGCACGCATTGCGTCTACATCAGCATTGTGTCTATGCTGGGGCTGCACCAACACTAGTGTTGACTTTACATAAACGCTGTATCTACACCAGCATTGTGTCTACTCTGCTCCGTCATGTGCTTTTGTGTTGATGCGTGTCAAGCGTGTTGCTGCAGAGCGTCTACTGAGTAAACTTTGTTTTCAGCTGTACTGGAATAATGACAAAGTCGAACTGGTATTTAAAGCCTTACTGCATGAATGGATTACTGCACACATAAACTACGACTAATTTGCACCGAGACACGTCCCGCGGTTCTGGCCCGAGGCGACCCGAGAGCATAAACAGGTTTTCACAGGGCCTGTTATAACGGTTCCTGTTACAAATAAAGCTGTGTAATCTAAATAGGGCTACAGAGTTGACTTCCAGTCGCTTCAGGCAGCGGAGAAAGAAACAAGCAAAAAAGAAAAAAAAAAGGGGAGTACAAATATTTGGAGATGTTCTGTTTGAACGCCATTATGAGGAAATCAAACGCATAAAGCTCAGATTAGCGAAGTTCCCCGGTATCGCCTCCGAGTACAGACACACAGCCACTGGCAGGAAAATGAATAGAAACAGATGAAAGATCTTTTCAAATTCACCGCCGCTCTCGCGCTCAGTATGTGAACAGGTGTTCAAACAAAAAAAAAAAGAAAGAAAGAAAGAAGGAAGGAAGGAAAAGGAAGAATAAAGAGCGTTAATACACGTACAGCAAGAGCGTGCACTGAATAAATGCAGGCCAACAGAATTAAGAACAAAAAGAAATAAAATAAAAATAAGTACAACTACAAATGATTATTATGTACACTGCACATTTATTCAATTTACAGGCACGAGTTATTCGTTTACTGGATTGCAGTCGAAGGAAAACAAGGACTTCAAATAACGATTAAAAGCTACAGAGAAAAAGGGGCTCCTAACAACCACCTGGAAGACCTGGTCGACCCCAAAACTGCCCGCATCAGATAAACAGCACTTAAAGCTTTCATCTCTGAGAGAGAGGAGAAAATCAAGCTGATCAGATCTGAAAACATCCACAGGTGTTTCTGTCCATCCTTCCACTGTGAGAAGACGACTCAGCGCTGTGGGTCTGAAAGGATGTGTAGCTGTCAAGAAGAACCTCACTGAGAAAAGGAGACGGACACATCAAACAAAGAAGCTGAACGATGGACTGACCACCCCAGAGTCCAGACCTCAACACCACTGAATGTGTTTGATTACTTCAGAAAATGATCAACCAGCTTCTAAGACTGAACTTTGGAGGTGTGTCTGCAGATTCTTTGAGGAGCTGAAAGTGAGTCTCCGGAACAGAATGGAAGCTGGAATAAAGGGAAAGATTGACTTGCCGACACTCAAACAGCTGAGATTAGAGTTAGTTATTGAGGTTTCGGTGCGATTTTCTGTTATTTCTCTTACCCCTACTCCTTGTTTTTGAGTGTCTCCTTGGAACTGAGTTACAGGGTAGTGGTTGAGATCTTCCCTCTGAAATGGGACCCTCAAATAAAAAGAGCATCACTTCATTAACAGCTACCAGCGCTGCTCTGTAGGAGACCCTGCCAGTCTGCAGTGACAGCAGAGGAGGGTAAAGTTCAGCTCCTCACTGCTGGGCTTTAGTTACATTTAGGGATCATATGATCTTCAAAGAGGGGGGCAATTATTTATTATCACCCACCCCTAATTCTTCAGTGATATGAAGCTGAAGTCAGATATTCACCAGATTCTTGTTTGAATCTTCCTGTTTCACCTTAAATGGTGCAGCAGTTACATTCTGGCACTTCAGGCGTCAGAACTGCTGGACTATTTAAGGTGGAACGGGAAAGTTAGCTATCTAGCTACCGAGACATTGGCGTGCTATTAGTGATTTTTTATGCTTGTCATGAATAAAAGGACCATAATACACTGAAACGACATTAAACTAGGATAATACAGTGGTTATCGTAATTTTAACAGAGAAAATTCTCACATTTGTTTGTTTCTTTGGTATCTTGGGCTCCATTTTGCCGTTTTTTTCTTTTTTTCTCATATCACTCTGTTTGGAGTCTCTGAAAAACCTCAGTTTGGAGGGCCGTGTAGCTCTAACACTTCGCCCTACCCTTCTACCTCAACAAGAATCGGGACACCCTACCCCTAGACGTGAATGTGCAAAACAGAGGGGTAGGGCTGAGTGGTAGGGGTGAGGGGTGAAATGGGTTCGGGCCTAAGACTGTGAAGAACCCTTAGAATACTCTAGAGTAAACCCTCGCTGCAACACTAATGGAATATTCTGGAACAAACTGCATTAGTTACCCTAGATGTCAATAAACATGTTGTGTTGTTGGTAAATTGACTTTAATTATAAAAACATCTCCGCCTGTTTCTGAGCTCTCGGTCTGCAGTCTTGGCTCTCAGCGCTGTCTGGGTGTTTGCTGGTTATGAGATCTGCCTCCTGCTCAGGTGATGCAGTGTGTGCAGGCACACAGAGTGTGTGTGTGTTTTGCGCGTTCCTTCAGGTGTGCCCAAACACACGCTGCAGGCTTTGATGTTCCTCTGCCACCTCTAATGAAGGATAATAACAGAAAAAAAAACCTTCGTCGTGGATTAGAGATGTTTTTCCTACACTCTCTCGGCTTAGCCCACGGGTCGGGAGCTGGATGTCATCGGCTGACTTCAGGCAAAGGTCAAGAGGTCAAATCATGAAAACTAATCTCCCTCTGCTTTTTTCTCACTCTGTTCTTCAGCACCCAACTGTCCCGCTAAGCCCGTCACTATCAGCACAGATCAGCTAACAACGAATCGTTATGATCAACTATTATAGCTAGAGGTGTAAAAACGAATCAGTGCGTCACGACAGACAGACAGACAGATAGACAGATGGACAGACAGACAGAACGAGACAGGCAGATAAACAGATCAGTCACTAGATACAGGCAGACAGATCAACAGATAGATAGATAGAGAGAGAGATATACAGACAGACAGATACACGAAAGACAGAAAAATAGAAAGACAGACAGCTAGACAGACAGCTAGACAGCCAGGTAGATAGACTGTTAGATAGACAGACAGCTAGACAAATAGATAGATAGATAGATAGATAGATAGATAGACAAATAGACACAGAGATAGATAGACAGACAGACAGGTAGATGGTTAGACAGACAAACAGACAGACAGACAGATAGATGGATCAACAGACAGACAGAGAGACAGACAGATGGATAGATTGTTAGACAGACAGGCAGAGAGACAGACAGGTAGATATAGATAGATATAGAAATAGAAAGACAGACGGACAGATAGATCACTAGACAGACAGAAAAAGAGACAGACAGACAGACAGACAGATAGATAGATAGATAGATAGATAGACAGACAGCTAGATATAGATAGACAGATAGATAGACAGATAGATAGACAGACAGATAGACAGATAGAAAGAAAGATAAATAGATAGATAGATAAATAGATAAATAGCTAGTTAGACAGACAGACAGATAGACAGACAGATAGATAGATAGATAGATAGATAGATAGATAGTTAGACAGACAGACACATAGATAGACAGACAGGTAGATGGTTAGACAGACAAACAGACAGACAGACAGACAGATAGATGGATCAATAGACAGACAGAGAGACAGACAGATGGCTAGACTGTTAGACAGACAGACAGGTAGACAGAGAGACGGACAGATAGATATAGACAGATAGAGAAATAGAAAGACAGACGGACAGATAGATCACTAGACAGACAGAAAAACAGACAGACAGATATAGATAGACAGATAGACAGATAGAAAGACAGATACATAGATAGACAGATAAATAGATAAATAGACAGATAGTTAGACAGACAGACAGACAGACAGATAGATAGATAGATAGATAGATAGATAGATAGTTAGACAGACAGACACATAGATAGACAGACAGGTAGATGGTTAGACAGACAAACAGACAGACAGACAGATAGATGGATCAATAGACAGACAGAGAGACAGACAGATGGATAGACTGTTAGACAGACAGACAGGCAGACAGACAGAGAGACAGACAGATAGATATAGACAGATAGGGAAATAGAAAGACAGACGGACAGATAGATCACTAGACAGATAGAAAAACAGACAGACAGATAGATAGATATAGATAGACAGATAGACAGACAGCTAGATAGATAGACAGATAGACAGACAGACAGACAGACAGACAGACAGACAAATAGATAAATAAATAGACAGGTAGACACAGACAGACAGGTAGACATACAGATAGATAGATAGACAGATAGATAGTTAGTTGACTGATGGACAGACAGACAGACCTACTGATTTTGTCCACCAGTGTCCAGTGAGAGTAACAGTGGCTGTACTGTACTGGGAGAGTAACGACTCAGTGCACTGTCTGCACTGTGCGTCAGTGTTAATTACAGTGGGGTTAACTGACGGCACATTTCCCTTTAATATCTCCTGAAACTGAACTCTTACACTCTGCACTGTACTACACCAAGAACAACTTCGCTTTGGGGATCAATAAAGTCCCTCTCACCTTAAACAATCAGGACAGGCCTGCGTACCGGTTCTCCTCTCTCTGATCCGCGGGAAGAGCCGGAGATGAGTTATAGTAAATGACACGCATTAATACGGCTGTTATTAGCAGAAGCCGTAACTCTGGATCCACAGGGAGCCACTGGACGAGACTTTTACTGCGGCCTTTAGTGACGGAGCGTCGGGCGGTTTAATGTCATAAGTGGTTGCGCATTAGGCCTCATTATCACATTTACGACAATCATGCCCGCTCTGTGGGTGCGCAGCGAGTTAGCCAGGGCTTCTATCGATCCCTCTACAGGGTGACCGCTCCGACCTGCGAGAAAGGAAGGAGGGGGGGAAAAAAAAAGAAACGCAGCCACACCGACTGGCAGTGCGAGATGTGAAGTGTGGCATGAGTCCAGCTCATCAAATGCATAAACCATTTAGCGGGCTGTCAGGAGGGCCCTTCGTCTCTCCGCCGCCGTGACAAGCCTAATTTGGGGGATTTTCAGACATGCGTCATTCATGCCAAGGCAAAGATCCGCGCTCTAATCAAATAATTGGAATGCAGAGGGGGCGACTTTTTCCGCCGCAAAAACGGAAAAAGAGTGGAGAGACGGCGGACGTAATAGGATCCGTACTATAGCCTCTGGAGTGGTGGTGGGGCGTGTACACATACGCACACCAGCATACCTACAGAGTGAGGGAGGAGAGATGAGGTCAGACAAGATAAGAAAGCTGCTGCGAAGAATGTAGAAAAGGTAGAAGAAATTCAGTCGTATCTGGTGCTACGAAGCATTTTGGACTTTTTGAAGTCAACATGAAATCAAAACAGAGTTTTCTTCACCTCGTTAGTTTGTGTTCTTGATAAACATGATTCATACAGTATTAGCTGTGTCCCAATTCAGGGGCTGCGTCCTTCGGGGCTGCATTTGAAGGCCGATTGCGTCACAGAATAGAAACGCGTCAACGAAGGATCCAACAGGTGGATCTGTCGCGAGCCAACATATCCCGAGGTTCACTGTGTGCCGGCGAGGATTCGAGAACATGGCGGCGTCAGCAGAGGAGCGAACGGCGGCTGAGGAGACACTTTAAATTGAAGTATTGGGTTTAAACTGAGTCGAATAGCGAACGATACAGATGTTAAAAAGCCGATGAGGTCTGAAGCAAAACTTACGCTGACGTTTCGTTTTGTTTTAGGGAGCAAAGAGCCGACAGAGAGCAGCAGCTCCAGCTCTAATGAATGAAAAACATTTTTCAACTTTAAAAATACCATCATCAAAGTTCATCATACACCAGCTCCACCCACTGTTCTCCATCTTTTACTTCATATTACAGCGTCACTGAGAGGAACCAAGACTCAAAAGGAGAAACTCCCTAAGAGCATGATGGAGAACCGCCGAGAGGAACCAAGACTCAAAAGAAGAAACCTTCTAAGAGAATGAGGAGGAACCGCTGAGAGGAGCCAAGACTCAAAAGGAGAACCCCCCAAGAAAATAAGTAAGAAATGCAGAGAGGAATCAAGCTCAAAACGAGAAACCCTCTAAGAGAATGACAGAGAACCATCGAGAGGAACCAAACTCAGAAGAGAAACTCCCTAAGAGCATGAGGAAGAACCTCTGAGAGGTACCAAGACTCAAAAGGAGAAACCCTCCAAGAGGATGATAGAGAACCTCTGAGAGGAACCAACACTTAAAAGGAGAAACTTTCTACAAGCATGAGGAAGAACCACTGAGAGGAACCAAGACTCAAAAGGAGAAACCTTGTAACAGAATGATGGAGAACCACTGAGAGGAACCAAGACTCAAAAGGAGAAACTCCCTAAGAGAATGAGGCATAACCACTAGGAGGAACCAAGACTCAAAAAGGAGAAACCTTCAAACAGAATGACAGGGAACCTCTGAGAGGAACCAAGACTTAAAAGGAGAAACCTTCAAACAGAATGACAGGGAACCTCTGAGAGGAACCAAGACTTAAAAGGAGAAAACTTCAAACAGAATGACAGGGAACCTCTGAGAGGAACCAAGACATAAAAGGAGAAACTCCCTACGAGAATGAGGGATAACCACTAAGAGGAACAAAGACTCAAAAGGATTTAACGTTAACAAGAATGTAAATTGCCCAGTACTAGATAACAGTATGTCAGAAACCACATAAGCAAGTATGTTAGAGATGCCTTAACAACTCCAAACAATCTGAGACAAGTCTGTGATGATTTACTCAGGATGCTAATTCCTCGTCAGCTGCAGTGCAAAACTACAGCAGCAAATTTCACACTCCAAACATGTCGTGGCTGATTGTCTGGGGGGAAATTGTGTAAATCTGATTTGTTTTGGCCAATCTAGCTTTTGCATGGCCAAGACACGCACCAGGTGAGATAATATGCATATGGTCTTCTGTCCTGAGTACAGAGAGTCCATCATCCTCTCACACGTGAGCGGCTGTGAATGGAGCACACGCTCACTTCGCTCTGCCTCCACCGACAGACATCAAACGGTGGCCCAGTGATACCCATCTCTGCCTTCTGCTCTCCGACCGCACCTGAGCATATCTGGAATTTGATTCGTGTCAACAACGCAAATTCCTTTGCGCGTGAAAACCCACGTTTAGAAACCACGTACATGTGCGTACGCGTGTGTGTGTCGCTGGACACAGTTGCGTTTAGCAGGACGCGAGATGTGGAGACAAAGGCAGAACAAAACACCACGGACCGCGGCTCTGTTCACAGGCTTTTCATGTTCGTTTGGCTTTTCGCTCGCTTACCGCTGATCCTTTCGGCAGCGCTGTTTCGTCCACAAGCAGGTACAAGATGTTCAGAGCCACCAGGAAGACTGAAATCGCCTGGAGAGGAAAGAGGAAAAGAAAACGCCTCATTACTTGTGTTAAGATTAGAGATGGCATCACTTTTTCTTTTTCGATACAGATATTAAAAGCTTTGGCTGATACAAAGATCATATCTCTTCTTTAAAAACTACTGAGCTTTAAAAAGCTGGTTTTTATTGAAGCGATTTATTTAACCCTCTACTGCGCAGATTAGGAGAACCAAAAAAAATTCTTGCATAAAATGGGCCATGTAGGAGTCCTTTTTGGGTATGTTGCCTTGAGGCAACATTGTGCAATAGTGGACAAACATGGAAAAAAAAACCAGGAAACTATATTCCTTTAATCTAAATATTTGGAATGAAACTCAGTAACTACATAATTTGTTGATCTACTGTATGATTAAATGATTGAAAAACACTAACTCCTGATCAATAAAATCAAAATACAATGTTTAAAAAATAATACATGTATTTCTTCTTGAGTATGTTGCTCTGAGGCAACATTGTGCACATAAACATAGCAAACTGGATTTTTTTATCTAAATATTTGGAATGAAACTGAATAACTGCATAATTTGTTGATCTATTGTATGAATAAATGATTAAAAAAATAATTCTATTTCATACTATTTGTAAAGGCACCACGTTTACACATTACAACCTTTTGGAATAATGTTTTGATTTCTTGAACACCGAGCAATCATTTAAAACCCCAAATAAGAGTTAAAATTACGCTAAAACATAAAAAGAAGTACATTTTTCTTGCATAAAATAGGCCTGATCACTAAAATCAAAAACAAGTTTTCAAAAATATTACATGTAGGGGTCATTTTTGGGTATGTTGCTTTGAAGCAATGTTGTACAACAGTGGAAATATCTAAATAATTTTATCTAAATATGTGAAATGAAACTGAGTAACTACATAATTACAAAGTTGCCAAATACAAGCTTTTTTGGTTGATTCAAACTCTTCCATTCAAACTCTTCCATTATTATCCCTTTAACTGTCAATAAATGTGTGTCAAGTGACTGGAAAGTGAGGAAAATGGGGTTGTTGCCCTGAGGCAACATCGAACAATAGAGGGTTAAGATGATCTAAAATGGACCGGATTCATTCTTTTTTTCCCTATAATATCAGATCCAGTATTTTCTGCTGATATCAGTGCCATCTGTAGCCTGCAGTTAATCGTAATAGTCTGTTAGTCTTTAGATGTCAGAACTGATATCAGTGATACGGTATATTCTACTTTTATATGAATTGTTTGGTACACGTGGAGAAACTGTGTGGAGCATGTAGTTTCTAAACGTTCAATCCACATCACATCTGTGTTTGTAAGCAGAAGAGGAGATATAATACATTGAATTTGATGTAAAAGTTGCTGTTGTGCATTCAAACTTTCAATACAGAATGTAAATCAAATGTAAACTGCCAGTCAAAGGTTTGAACGTCTAACTGAACGCATTTTCTTTCATAATCTTAAAGACATTTTGATCTACAGGCTCTTAAACCGAAGAACCGACAACAGAAGCTTTTTGGCCACTATGTAACTCCATACGAGCTCTGAAGTTTTGTTTATTCTAAATAGTAACGAAGTATGAAGGAAGGAAGGGAGGAAGAAAGGAAGGAAGGAAGGGAGGATAAGAGGAAGGAAGGGAGGAACGAAGGGAAGGAGGAAGGAAGGAAGGGAGGAAGAAAGGGAGCAAGAAAGGAAGGGAGGAAAGAAGGGAGGAAGAAAGGAAGGAAGGAAGGGAGGATAAGAGGAAGGAAGGGAGGAACGAAGGGAAGGAGGAAGGGAAGGAGGAAGGAAGGAAGAAAGAAGGGAGGAAGGAAGGAAGGAAGGGAGGAAGAAAGGAAGGAAGGGAGGAAGAAAGGGAGGGAGGAAGAAAGGAAGGAAGGAAGGAAGGAAGGGAGGAAGAAAGGAAGGAAGGGAGGATAAGAGGAAGGAAGGGAGGAACGAAGGGAAGGAGGAAGGGAAGGAGGAAGAAAGGAAGGAAGGAAGAAAGAAGGGAGGAAGGAAGGAAGGAAGGGAGGAAGGGAGGAAGAAAGGAAGGAAGGGAGGAAGAAAGGAAGGAAGGGAAAAAGAAAGGGAGGGAGGAAGAAAGGAAGGAATTAAAAGATATTAAAAGCTTTGGCTGATACAAAGATCATATCTCTTCTTTAAAAACTACTGAGCTTTAAAAAGCTGGTTTTTATTGAAGCGATTTATTTAACCCTCTACTGCGCAGATTAGGAGAACCAAAAAAAATTCTTGCATAAAATGGGCCATGTAGGAGTCCTTTTTGGGTATGTTGCCTTGAGGCAACATTGTGCAATAGTGGACAAACATGGAAAAAAAACCAGGAAACTATATTCCTTTAATCTAAATATTTGGAATGAAACTCAGTAACTACATAATTTGTTGATCTACTGTATGATTAAATGATTGAAAAATACTAACTCCTGATCAATAAAATCAAAATACAATGTTTAAAAAATAATACATGTATTTCTTCTTGAGTATGTTGCTCTGAGGCAACATTGTGCACATAAACATAGCAAACTGGATTGTTTTATCTAAATATTTGGAATGAAACTGAATAACTGCATAATTTGTTGATCTATTGTATGAATAAATGATTAAAAAAATAATTCTATTTCATACTATTTGTAAAGGCACCACGTTTACACATTACAACCTTTTGGAATAATGTTTTGATTTCTTGAACACCGAGCAATCATTTAAAACCCCAAATAAGAGTTAAAATTACGCTAAAACATAAAAAGAAGTACATTTTTCTTGCATAAAATAGGCCTGATCACTAAAATCAAAAACAAGTTTTCAAAAATATTACATGTAGGGGTCATTTTTGGGTATGTTGCTTTGAAGCAATGTTGTACAACAGTGGAAATATCTAAATAATTTTATCTAAATATGTGAAATGAAACTGAGTAACTACATAATTACAAAGTTGCCAAATACAAGCTTTTTTGGTTGATTCAAACTCTTCCATTCAAACTCTTCCATTATTATCCCTTTAACTGTCAATAAATGTGTGTCAAGTGACTGGAAAGTGAGGAAAATGGGGTTGTTGCCCTGAGGCAACATCGAACAATAGAGGGTTAAGATGATCTAAAATGGACCGGATTCATTCTTTTTTTCCCTATAATATCAGATCCAGTATTTTCTGCTGATATCAGTGCCATCTGTAGCCTGCAGTTAATCGTAATAGTCTGTTAGTCTTTAGATGTCAGAACTGATATCAGTGATACGGTATATTCTACTTTTATATGAATTGTTTGGTACACGTGGAGAAACTGTGTGGAGCATGTAGTTTCTAAACGTTCAATCCACATCACATCTGTGTTTGTAAGCAGAAGAGGAGATATAATACATTGAATTTGATGTAAAAGTTGCTGTTGTGCATTCAAACTTTCAATACAGAATGTAAATCAAATGTAAACTGCCAGTCAAAGGTTTGAACGTCTAACTGAACGCATTTTCTTTCATAATCTTAAAGACATTTTGATCTACAGGCTCTTAAACCGAAGAACCGACAACAGAAGCTTTTTGGCCACTATGTAACTCCATACGAGCTCTGAAGTTTTGTTTATTCTAAATAGTAACGAAGTATGAAGGAAGGAAGGGAGGAAGAAAGGAAGGAAGGAAGGGAGGATAAGAGGAAGGAAGGGAGGAACGAAGGGAAGGAGGAAGGAAGGAAGGGAGGAAGAAAGGGAGCAAGAAAGGAAGGGAGGAAAGAAGGGAGGAAGAAAGGAAGGAAGGAAGGGAGGATAAGAGGAAGGAAGGGAGGAACGAAGGGAAGGAGGAAGGGAAGGAGGAAGGAAGGAAGAAAGAAGGGAGGAAGGAAGGAAGGAAGGGAGGAAGAAAGGAAGGAAGGGAGGAAGAAAGGGAGGGAGGAAGAAAGGAAGGAAGGAAGGAAGGAAGGGAGGAAGAAAGGAAGGAAGGGAGGATAAGAGGAAGGAAGGGAGGAACGAAGGGAAGGAGGAAGGGAAGGAGGAAGAAAGGAAGGAAGGAAGAAAGAAGGGAGGAAGGAAGGAAGGAAGGGAGGAAGGGAGGAAGAAAGGAAGGAAGGGAGGAAGAAAGGAAGGAAGGGAAAAAGAAAGGGAGGGAGGAAGAAAGGAAGGAAGGAAGGAAGGAAGGAAGGAAGGGAGGAGGAGAGGAAGGAATGGAGGAAGGGAGGAGAAAGGAAGGGAGGAATGGAGGAAAGGAGGAATGGAGGAAGAAAGGAAGAAAGAAAGGGAGGAAGGAAAGATGGAAGAAAGAAAGAAAACCCTTCTGTGGATACAAACATCCACACTTTTGATTGGAGCCACAGTTCATTACTTATCAATGCAATTAATTTTGCAAAGACATGTAAATATTGATGTAATGTAAACTGAATGTAGAGCGAAACAATAATACAACTCTAGTTATTGCCATAATAATGACACTCATTATCATACTGCATATATACTGTCCAGTCAGCTGTTTGTAATACACCATACGCACCGTGCCAGCAAGCAGAATCAGCATCACGATAGGGTAGAGCAGGTTCTTCTCCCAGGCTGAGGCCTTTTTCTTCCTCTCTGAAACATGACGGAAGACAGCAGATGAGAAAAGGTTCTCTTCTCCTCTAAAGACACAGAAGAAGAACCTGCACTAGCAAACCTTCAAGGCAATCTGACAGCTGAACCATCAGCTCACACGCCTTCCTTAACAGCATCTTTGGCTTTAATTTATTACTGATATTTACTAAGTTTATTCACTTCATTTACTATATACTTATACTATACTTTATTTAAAGCATCTTGGGCTGCATTTCAACGTAACAAAGATGCTATTTAGGGTTCTGCAGTGCCCCCTAGTGGCCATTCTGTCAGGCAGAATGGAAATGAACTAATTAAATGAATTAATTAATCAAATAAAGTTTCCCCGTAACTCTGTTATCAGATGAACTTGGACTCTGTTCTCTCTGTGTGTGAAATGTTGAGCTGCTAGTGAGCAATGAGGGGTGAAAGGGGAGGGGTGAGAGCCCCCTGCTGTGAAAAACAATTCACACCTCCAAACAAAGGCGGAGATAAAATGGACAACCGCAGCTTTTCTTCGTATCAAACAGTCCAGCACAACTGACACAATAAACACACAACATTTAAACACAAACACTTTCATAAACGCTGACCTGCTCGCTCGTCTATGAAGGCGGAAATCAAAAGATTACCATAAATATTATTGAAAAAAATGTATAGTTAAACTGAAGAACCTCCAAAACAGGTGTATTTTGCATTTATTTTGCTTATTTTCTTTTTAATCTTATTAATATTCCAAGACGTTTACAATACTAACTCAAAAAATGTCATTTTAACAAATGTGGCTAGTTCTACCTCACTATCGTGACGTTTTCACATCGTCCTACGCAGAAGGACAGACGTCGTTAACTTTGACTCGTGTGATTTTAAAGCTACTCTGTCTTCTGTCCACCGCTACGTCCATCATTCTCTGCCTTCCTGTCCGTCCCTCTCTGACGCAGGTCCTGCCTGGCAGCCGCTTTGGCCGCCTTCCCTGCGCGTGCCCCCCGGCAGCCGCCAAATTAATGACCTCACTCCGAGAGGCAGCCACAATAAAGTTCGCCTCTCCGTCCAATATCCTAAGTGCCTTTGTGGCCTCGTCTCCGTCCAACTTTACGTCTAATTGGAGTCATTTATAATAGCCCCAAAAACGCACCAACGTAGACAATTAAGACTACACAACAGGAGCCTATTTGGCCTCCTTCCTTAAGAAATCAAGCCAATTTGCATTTGGAGGCACACGAGCCTGGCCGCCCCGCTCCCTGAGGTCTGAGTGGGCGAGAGCTGCAGGATTACAGAGTAACTCCAGCAGATGTGCTGAGGTATCAGTGAAGCAGACGCGGTGAAGCTCATCTCACCTAGCTTGGTCCTCTGGGTGCGGATGTTGTCAAGCTCCTTGTAGAGATGCTGGGAATTGGGGCGCAAGTAGGAGTTGGACGTCGAGCCTAGAGAAGGAGGAACACGGAGAAAGAGGGCGATTATTTGAGTGTTAAAGATAAAATATAACCTAAAATACTCCAGACAACACCAGCAGGATTTGTACGGAGTTCAACCTGAAAAAAAACAAGACAAAAATATCTGTGCTGTGACTTCATATCTCCAAATATACACTGGCCACTTTAATAGAAACAGCTACCGTATAGATCATAACAGCAGACGGTAGTACAATTTGCATATACAGTTCCTTTTTTCTTTCATAATACAAATATATTATGTATTATATACATACATACACACACACACACACACAAACACTTGTTTTTGAAACATTATTCTATATACAGTATATTCTATTTATTTGCAGAGTTTAAAATATTGGGAAAAAAATAAAACATACCATAACTTTTGCACAGACCACATTTTTAACTCAGCTAATGATCAGTAATGATGATGTCCAGACCTCATCATCACTGCACCAACTTCTAAAACTGAACTTTGTAGGTGCTGAAAAACTCCCGAGAAGAACCAATAAAAACTGAAAATCATATGAATTATATGTAGCTGTTGAGGCTTCTGTGTACTTTTCTGTTAAATATGTGTTCGGGTGCTGAAAAATGAATAACCTGTACTTAAACGGCTGTTTTAACTGGAAATTAAATTAATGAAGGGGTTCTCTGACTTTTGCACAGTCCTGTGTATGTATGTGCATATAAAATTCATTGATTTGCTTCTGCTGGTTTTCAGGGGAGAACAGATGATGCACGTTTGAGAACTGTGGGGGGAACCGGAGTCCGAGGGGCAAAACACAGAGCGGGGTTCTCCAGGAAAACCGCAGAGCTCAGTCTTACTGAGCTTTTTTTGGGAAAATCTGTTTCATTCTCTCCGCCTCTCTGCCTCATTCCTGTCACTCGCTCTCTCCTCAAAGCCAAGGATCGGTTTGCAGAGCCTCCGGGGACACACACTCACACACACACACATACACACACACACACATACACACACATATACACACACACACATATACACACACACACACACAGTGGCAATTAGTTCACTGTTACAGCATTACTGGCATGCAATAAAAACTCAATCTTTCATCCGTCCCAGTGAAAGCAGCAGCACAGCAGCCGATCACTTTGATCAAAACCAGGATTATTAAGATGATTATGACACACCCTGTCTAGCAGCGACTGCAGCTTCCTCTAATGAAGATGTATGTGAAAACAAAACAAGCCAAACAAGAACAAAAAAAGAAAAGGTGAAGAAAAAGAAAAAAACAGCAGCAGGTGTGCTGCGGCTCTTTCCTCAATCTCTGACGTTTAGGGAAAGTCTGAGCCCTCCAACCAAACCGCCGGAGCGACGCAGGAGGAAATGTCACAGCGACTGAACAAGACTGGATTGATCAGTCCTTAATAAGCTAAATATAACCAGTCAGCCTAACTAGCTAAATATAACCAGTCAGCTTAACTAGCTAAATATAACAAGTTAGCATTACTAGCTAAATATAACCAGTCAGCTTAACTAGCTAAATACAACCAGTTAGCATTACTAGCTAAATATAACCAGTCAGCTTAACTAGATAAATATAACCAGTCAGCTTAACTAGCTAAATATAACCAGTCAGCTTAACTAGATAAATATAACAAGTTAGCATTACTAGCTAAATATAACCAGTCAGCTTAACTGGATAAATATAACCAGTCAGCTTAACTGGATAAATATAACCAGTCATCTTAACTAGCTAAATATAACCAGTCAGCTTAACTAGATAAATATAACCAGTCGGCTTAACTAGATAAATATAACCAGTCGGCTTAACTAGCTAAATATAACCAGTCGGCTTAACTAGCTAAATATAACCAGTTAGCATTACTAGCTAAATATAACCAGTTAGCATTACTAGCTAAATATAACCAGTCAGCTTAACTAGCTAAATATAACCAGTTAGCATTACTAGCTAAATATAACCAGTCAGCTTAACTAGCTAAATATAACCAGTTAGCATTACTAGCTAAATATAACCAGTCAGCTTAACTAGCTAAATATAACCAGTTAGCATTACTAGCTAAATATAACCAGTTAGCATTACTAGCTAAATATAACCAGTCAGCTTAACTAGCTAAATATAACCAGTCAGCTTAACTAGCTAAATATAACCAGTCAGCTTAACTAGCTAAATATAACCAGTCAGCTTTACTAGATAAATATAACCAGTTAGCATTACTAGCTAAATATAACCAGTCAGCTTAACTAGATAAATATAACCAGTCAGCTTAACTAGCTAAATATAACCAGTCAGCTTTACTAGATAAATATAACCAGTTAGCATTACTAGCTAAATATAACCAGTCAGCTTAACTAGCTAAATATAACCAGTCAGCTTAACTAGCTAAATATAACCAGTCAGCTTAACTAGATAAATATAACCAGTCAGCTTAACTAGCTAAATATAACCAGTCAGCTTTACTAGATAAATATAACCAGTTAGCATTACTAGCTAAATATAACCAGTCAGCTTAACTAGCTAAATATAACCAGTCAGCTTAACTAGCTAAATATAACCAGTCAGCTTAACTAGCTAAATATAACCAGTCAGCTTAACTAGCTAAATATAACCAGTCAGCTTAACTAGATAAATATAACCAGTTAGCATTACTAGCTAAATAAAACCAGTTTACGTAACTATCTAAATGTATATAGTTTGTGTAACTAGTTCGTTTAACTAACTTAACTAACTTACTTAGCTTAACTAGCTAAATATATAACAAGTGAAAAACAGAGGGGTAGGGCTGAGCGGTACTGGTGAGGGGTGAAATGGGACCAAAGTCAGCCTTAGTTTTACTCTTGACACTAATTGGGCTGATTAGTGAGCAAAACTGCATCTCCAAACTGAACGGCCACATTTGGACACTTGTGAGAATGAGATTTCTGGCCGAACTATCCCTTTAAGAGTCACTGCCCGGCGTAGTGTCCTTCACACCGGCGCTGGCGGAGGTGCCGCGTGGCGTTTTTGCTGCAGAGGTGAACCGAGCGGCCACAGAACAGATGATGTCAGTTCTCTCTGAAGGCGCTTCGGCCGCTTCTGCATTACATCAGCCCTGATTATGCAAAGCAGCAGCGCGCTCGCGCAGGAGGCTCCGCAAGGTCACCCTGCCACTGCGCATCTGGACAACAATGAAGAGCGGCGAGCGAGCCAAGACCAAGGACACTCACTCTCAGCACCTAGACACACAAACACCACAGGAAGTCCACACACCCCGCAGAAATGACCAGCGCGCGTCTGGAAGCGGCGGAGCCTTTATTTAATCTGGGAAAAAGAGCAGATCTGAGCTTCTGGGTGAAGGAAATGAACTCGTATAAAGAACGACTGAGACAGCGATTTACTTCATATAACAATATTAATAATATCCTTATTTATAGAGCACTTTTCATAGCGGTGGCAGCTCAAAGTGTTTTACAGACAGATGATAAAGCTCAGCAGTAATAGAAGCAGCTTTGGGTATTATTTTAAATTATGTAAATACTGTTTACACGCACTCAATAATCTGATCATTCAAACGGTCATGTAAACAGCACACTCTGATTTCTTGGATCGCAGGTCTAGAAATCCGATAAAGAGGCTGGATTTGAGCTCAGTAATCAGATTTCTCAGTGCATGTAAACTCTTACTCTGATTTCTTTCGGATTTCTCAGTTTGAGCGTGTGCAAAACAGACCACGGTACCAGAAATGAGCGAGCAGCGCCGCGAGACGCAGCACAACACTTTTGGAGCGACACTGAAACCAAATACATGCTTGGCGAAATGAGGGATTTACATATTTTCTTTGATGTATGTTCATATTTTCAGGTAGAAAGGCTCAATGTTTAAAAAAAGCTGCGGCATGAAGTTTGAGTTTTACAAATCATTCACAAATAACGCTTCAAAAGTCTAGTTTTCAAAAGTTAAAGCAGTTGCAGAACGCTGCTGATTGTTTGTGATACTTAATTGATGGGTTTATACAGTAATTCCACATAGTTGCTATGATATTCCAGCTTTTTGTTAACCTTATCAACCCTGTGAGACCACCGGTGGTTCCAAAGCGCACTTCGTCATATTCTTCATAACTTTCATATTTCATAAGCTACATTCTAAAGGTGGGGGTCGTATGAGGCTGTAACTGTCTTCTTTCCAGTCAAATAGATGGGTGATGTAATTTTATACCCTTATAATAAAAGAAGCTGAACTCAACTTTTTTTTTGTCTACTGAAAGTCGACCCATTTTTCCACAAATCTATATAAACTATAAACAGATGGCGTCTCTTCGGTGATCTGCTCTGTAAACATTAGTTTTATAAAAAAAATACAAAGAGCGTCTAAGATTTTTGGCTTTCAGCAGTAAATTGTAAGCATATAGCATTGTGTGTGATCATAAACACATGTTCTGTTAATCTGAGGGGAGCTTTTTTAAAAAAAAAAAAATAAATAAAAATTTACATTTATTTCATGCAGTTACTGAATAATTTGCCTTACGATTTGGTCATGTAAATTCAGATGGACAAACTAAAATATACCCTGGTCAATAAGAGCGTGTTGCTCAGTGGTTGTAAGGTGGTTGCGCTGGTGTTGCAAGACTGTTGCTATGCTGTCCCAAGTGGTTGGAAGGTGCTGCCACATCATCACTACAGTATCCTAGGTGGTTGTTTAGATGTTGCTATGGTATCCCATGTGTTAAGTACATTTTCTGGTTTTGTTTCCCTGATGCTGAAAAATTAATAACTTAACGACTGTTTGTGGAACTTCTGATAATTTCCAAATAAGATTAGATTTTCACTGTTTTCCTGTTCACTTCCTATTTACTTCACTGACAACAGCTGCAACGTTTTGTTCATCTTAAAGCAGCTCTGTATTAATGCTTTGTGTATGTTTATCTTCAACATTCAGCTTCATGTCCATCAAAGTATCCTCCTTGGTATGAAGAGCAGGTTTATAAACAAAGACTTGACCATTTTCTTCACCAAACTACTG